ACAACGAAAATTCAGTCAAGGATAGCGCTTTTACGCGGAACGATGAGATGAACGCCGTCTACGACGACGATCACAACGTTGATCACAACCAGCAGCCGGCCCGCGACCGGCATGCATGCAACGCGCGCGAACACTTCTCCTCGACCTGCGATTGGTCTGTCGTTGCGGTCGTCGTTCACGCACGCACGTGAACGACACGTGCGTGCATCCCTCCGTCGCTAGGGCAACTGAAACCTCTCTCTTCGCTTCTCCCGCTTCTTCGAGCAACCTCCTTGCCCCGCGAGTGCCGCTTGCGCAACGCTTGCGGCTCGCGCCGTCAGCGCAGTTATTTAGTGTCGCACAGGGAAGCGTGCTCGCTGCTCCGGTCGTCGGCGCGGTCGGCGGGCTGTGCCAGAAACCGCACTATAACCGGTATTTCCCTTCGCGCGCCTGCGTTTTAAGCGGTATGTAATTACATGGAGTTCTATGGGAGGCGAACCGGTGGTTTAAAAAAACCGCGTTATACCCGGTCCTGCACTATAAGCGGTTACGTTGTAAGTGGTCTATACTGTACCGCCAAGACTGCAGAACGGACAAAGCGTTACTGCTTGTCATTCCGTGTGATCATGAGGGTAGCAGGGGTGGAACTCATGAAATATACCTGGGAGCAGCCACGGGAGCAGCTGAAACAGCTGTTTTGGAGCAGGTTGGGAGCAGCTAAAACTGCACTCTGGAGCAGGATAGGACCAGCTCAGATCAGTTATCATTGCACTTCAGCTTGTGTCTTCGACAAGCACGAGAGCAATATCAATTGTGCTTAGCAGCACAGATGAACATGAAGGGTTTGGAACCATAGGTAGATGGGATAACTGTGTAACAGATGCGAAAACTTGAAACTTTGCGAGCCTTCATGAGAACCAAAAAACAAGTACCATAGGTTTCTCAAGGTAGCGTCCTTGATAATTTCTGATTGGCTTTCAGTTGCTCAAAATGCAAACCAGCACTGCTTATCACAGAACCCACACGTGCTCGACATAGTAATTATGTGCGCGAACCACGTGACGTGCGTAGGCAAGGGATGTGCAGTTGCGAGGAAGTACAGGGCAACAAATTTCGAGTTTATCTTACCGTGCAACTCAATATTGAAGCAGCAGACTACGATTAACGGAGTTATCGTATTTGAAGCGATGAGCGTAGCAAAGTTAATGCGAAGCAGATCTACAGCTCGCGTGAGAGCTGCTGGCCGGCAAGGTTTTGGACCAGACCACGTTTCAGTTCTTTCAAATCTCGATTTATCTTGCGGGGATGCGGTTCCAACTTCTAACGATGAGGTGCTAAAAGGAATCTTTTGCTAATGTGTCTTCAACTGGCTGACGTTTGGATCCCGGGCCGCAGAGCCTCAGGCAATCCGACGCGACTCGACCTCACCTCGGCTGACTTGCTTAACTGCTTATGGATGAAGAATAACAATCCAGTCGCGGGTGGTGTAGCGCTTAGAATCCGACCCCCGAGTTTTTGTGCGCGCTTGCGACTCGGGTTGCACAGGGAGAATAAACAGAACAAAGGATTGCAAAACCGACCAAGCTAAACGCGCCAATCGAGACGATAGAAACGGAAACCAAGACAAAATACAATTTGTTTGCCGCATGTTGCACGATTTGGTGCATAATGGCGCGAGGTATTGGCTGCGGCGCAGATTCCACAGAATGGCGCAGGATGGCGCAGACGAATGCGTCTGGCGCATTATGGCGCAAATGGGGCAGCCGTTCCACCCCTGGGGTAGGAAAAATATCATACCTTGACTTCAATACGCTGCGTGTATTTATTTTATTAATAAATGCACTTTTGCAGACCCACAGTCTGCTGATCCCGCCGGCAGTGCGGAAACTGACTTGAAGTAATCGTAGGCCTCGAGAGACTTGTACGCCTGCTCCGTGTCGGCCGGGAACTGGCTTGATGAAAAAACTAAATAAACGACGACGTGAGCCGTCAACTTCGGTGGCAGCAACATCACGTCGGAAGTCCAGGAGGCCTTGTTGATGGCGCACGGATCCTCGAAGGCAACGCCGTCCACGCACAATTTATTTCGATACCACTGCCATTCAGGCTCAGGCAGCGAGCTCAAATAGTCGGGCATAGCATATGACATTTGTTGTCAGGAAATAAGACTCGCAAATAAAGCTAGAAGCGTCCCTACAACATCAACAACGAGCGCACGCCACACAACACAATGGCAAAAACACGGAGAGCCGGGCCACTTTTGCCCACACAGCTACCGTGCATGCACGGCCTTCCGGCCGTGTTGGTGAACAGAGCCGCTCCGCGTGTCGGTCTATATATAAATATATACGACCGAGTACACACACCCCTTTGCAAGTTGTGCAAGGAAACTTCCAGCTGTATTCCACCCATTCTCGGCAGTTAATTATAGTCCAACAAGGCCTCATCTTGAGTCCGGTAATCTCGCTCCGAGGAGATCCCAGTTTGAATTGATTGATTGAGTTTTATTGGTGCAAAAGCGTCTAAGGCTATAGACTATTTCACGAAATGGTTTCAAGACAGGAAAGAGGTCTCTAGTCGCCAGTGATAGGATAAAAGGATGGGCATGAATCTGTATATAAATAACGTGGACGAAAAATTAAAAAATTGCAAAGCAAGCTTAAAGTTGGCCTAAAAGTCCAATGCTTTCTATAAATTTAAATAACATATGTAGGATTTATAAAAGGTTCATCTCCAAGCAGAAGAGCAAGGTGTAAAAAGGCATGTGCGCCGAAGAAAACTGGGCGAAGTAGAATTGACGGCCTCCGCGATATGCTGAGCACTCAAGAAGGATGTGCGCTACACGGTTCTGAACAGTGTTCGCATGGAGGTGGATACTCTCGGCAAAGCAGACACCCATGTGCCAAATGTGCGTGACCAATTCTTAATCAACAAACGACAACCTCTTAACCAACAAAGGAGGCTTAACAGTGGGCTTACTTTGGAAGGTTTGTTCAAAACGCGTTCTCTCGACTTGTTCCCGACACGGACGTTGTGATACGGACCGCATTCTAAGGAAATACGTTAGACCTAGGCCCTCTCGCCTCTTCTCTAGAGATATTTCATCAGCTTCAGCATAGAGGCTCAGCGCAGAAGACGTATGGAACGAACCGGCGACAAGTTGGAGCCCTGCGCGATGGATTCAATCCAACGTTTTCAGTGCTGATGCACTCGCTGATGCACACATCAAGCATCCTTAATCTAGGTGTGACCGCACAATTGACATATAGATTCTTAGCAGGTATGAACAATCAGAACTCAAAGTTATGTGGGAGAGAAATCTCGGAGTACTAAGGGATTCATGGCATTTCAGGTTTAACATTTTGACATGTTGGCTGAAAGAGAGTTTCGAGTCAAATATAAACTTTAGAAAATTATACTTCGTTTTTTATCTGAACTGGTGCACTGTATATGGTCGATGAGGGCGTCGGCATCATACCACGTTTTCGTGAAAAACAAACGCGAGCAGTCTCCTCCGCGGAGAACCTAAATCCGTTATTGTCGGCGAACCTTGTCACAAAGTTGCATGTAATGTTACATGTCATGTCACATGTCACAGGGTTACACACATGACATGTCACGAGGTTACATACACAACATGTCACAAGGTTACAAACACGGCATGTCACAAGGTTAGATACATGACGTGTCACAAGGTTACAAGTCAAGTTACTTGTCACAAGGTTACATACATGACATGTCACAAGGTTACATACATGACATGGCACAAGGTTGCATGAGGAAACGGCAATCTGGAGACCATCTACATACAGCGAATAGCAGACTGATGGTGGTACGGCACGCGCGACAGAATTTTACATATAAATGTACTGAGCGTATGCAGAGTATTCTACGGTATATACAACGCACAAAATAATTTCCTATTACGTCAATCCGTAAAACATTCAGCGAGTTTTTTTTTTTAATTTCTTTTAGCTACGTCTAGGGATCATTTTTAGTCCTGTAGAAAAATAAAAAAAAGTATGCATTTTAGGTTGTCAGTGGTTTTTTCAGATGCAAATATGAACAAGATTGAACTGGTAGGAACCACCATTGTTTGACTACTGAGCAGAAACCAAACCTCAATCTTTTCCCCGAACCGTAACAAAAACCGAAAACCATTTTGGTTCAACGCCCCAAGCTTATTACATTTAGATTTTTTTGTTTTTTGTCCCTTGTTAATATTTGAAAAGCGACATAGCAAAGTGGCTTTTGCCCACCTCCTGGAGCCTGGCTCTTTCACCAGCGCATTTATCCGCGAGCTTACCCTTACAAAAATCTTGAATGAGTTTCAATTGAATTTCTATCGTAATCTGTAATACCTTAGAAGCTCAATTGACACTCATTCCTAATTTTTGTAAGGGTACATCTGCTTTGTATTTGGTGTATATGAATATTGAATATATTACAGTAGGCAATTCACTCGCAATAATGCCTCCAGCGCTGCTGAGTAAAACAATTAAACAAAGCAATGAGTGTTCCAAATGCGACGCAATGAAAGTAGGCAAAGCATCTGTTAACAAATGAAACAAAAACTGACAGCATCATATGCAATCTTGTGCGCAGCAATGACAAAGACAAAATGGACAACAAGGACACAACAACCTGTTCTCCCTTTTGTCCTCGTTTTTGCTGCGCACAAGATTGCATAAGATGCCAAACCAACTCGCCCAAACAGCCACTCTTCTGTTTCTGCAAATGGTTCCTCACCCAGAATCTACCCGAGGACAAAAGGGAAGAACAAGGACACAACAAGGCGCATTGTCCTTGTTCTCCCCCTTTTTGTCCTCGTCCTTGCTGCGCACAAGATTGCATAAGATGTCAAACCAACTTGCCCAAACAACCGCTCTTCTTGACAGCATCAAAGAGAGCGACGTCCCATTAGCAGACGTGGCCAAAGTAAACGGCGCTCCACAGTCGAGAGACAAAGCCGTAGGTATGAGTTGCCCAAGCCGTAAGTGTGATCCTTGGCAAAGAACTACCTGTGGGTGGGCTTCCGTTGTCCTCGTTCGGGTCAGCGTGCAGGATTTGGGCCACGGCGGACATGACATCCTCGAGGGGCGCCCCCGCATCCTTGGCCACCGCCGGGTCCTCGGCCGCCCCCCCGGCCCGCGGGTTCTTGGCCACGAAGCACTCCATGCCGTCGTCAGACTGGGCTCCATACGCAGCCTCCTCCGGGGCGGCTTGGGCGGCCCCTCTCTCCACGTGCTCCTTCTGCAGGGAAGGACTTGGTCAGAGGCCTTGGGACATCGGCTGCCAGGATGGCACCTAGCTCTTGCCACTTTAAAAAACCAATCCAAGACCCATTCCTTTGGGGAGCTTGTACAAGGACCCAATCTATGAGGGCCCAAATGGCCCTTGCGGATTGGGTCCCTTTACGTGGTCAAGGTTGGTCCCTTTACGTGGTCCCTTTACATGGTCAAGGTTGGTCCCTTTACATGGTCAATTTGTGTCCCTTATGTGTGGTCCCTTTTTGTGACTGGGTCCCTTTACCTGGTCCCAAACGCCTTGGATCAAAAGCCTTGGGATGTCGACTGCCAGGAATAGTGACTAGATCTTGCCACTTTGGGAAACCGGTCCAATACCCGTTCTTTCGGGCAGCACGTAGAGGGACCGAATCTACCAAGGCCCAAGTGGCCCTCGTGGATTGGGTCCCTTTACGTGGGCCCTTTACATGGTAAAGGCTGGTCCCTTTACAAGATTGGGTCCCTTTGCGTGGTCCCTTTGGGTCTCTTTACGTGATTAGGTCTCTTTACGTGGTCCCTTTATGTGGTCAACGTTGGCCCTTTACGTGGTCAAGAAGGCCAACGCCCAATTTTCAACCACCTCGCCGGTCAAGGATTCGGCGTTGGTGGTCACTTTTCCACGTGCGGCAATGACCCTGATAGCGCAAAATAATTTCTAGGCCATCTAAGGCACATATTGGTAATTAAAAGAATAATTCACATTGTTCCCTTGATTTGGTATCAATGTTGTCGATTCTTTTCAGCAAATATGCAACTGCAGCTGAACAAAGCTTGGGTATCGTTATCAGGCGAAATTGCCAAAGATTTTCATCCCTACGAGAGGTCAGCGAACGACTAGACAAGAAATGCGAGCACGCAGACCAAGAATGCTGTCCTCCCAAATACTTCACCTGGAGGTGCGTGCGCAGAGCAGTGGCACTCAGGTGCAGGCAGCAGCAGACCACGCAGACGTAGACTAGGCGGTGCTTGCGGTAGTGGTTCTCCAGGTAGACTCTGCGCGAGGCCTGGTAGCCGCATAGACCACACTGGTGCGCGGTCGGTGGCTCTGGCACGTTGTGCACAAACAGGTGGCGGTCCCGGTCCACCTACGTTGCAACCGACACCTGCCATCTCCAAGCGCAACTGCACTTGCAACGAATCGTTGAAGGATGCTCTCGAGCATTTGTGCTGCTTATTGCAGTGGGGAGCAGTGTCGCCAACCACTGCGGTCGTTTCTTCCCAGTTTTTATTGGAAAATTCCCTAGATTTCTCTAGACTTCCAGAAAGTGTTAATTTGCATCAATATTGAGATTATCGTTATATAATAGATTAAGATTACATTCTTGTAGTAGGGTGGCCATTTAAAGGTTAAACTTGCTTCGTCAAGACATTTTTACATAATAAACTTTGTTACTTTGGCATTGTGTGGCCCCCTAAAATCGCTGTTGTTACCAATGGAGATTATTTTTAGCCCCAACAATATACAAGGAAGCCTTTTTCCCGCTGCACTCGACCAGCATGAGGAGGAGAAAGGGAAGGAATGTGTCTCTAAAGCCCTCTGAAACCCATTAAAAAACAGTCCCTAGATTTAAACAAATTTCCGCTGGCCCCTAAACGATGACGGAAATCCCTAGATCTAGGAAAAAAGATTGCTAAGGTTGGCAGCACTGGCACCCACCTTCTTCTTGAACTTGCGGTTGCAAATGTGGCAGATGTGCAGCACGGCCATGTTCTGGAGCTGCTTGTTCTGGAAGGTGGCCAGGTACCGGCGTCCTGCTGGGCCGGTGTGGTACTTGCGCACGTGGTTCACCAGCGACTTGGTCGTGTTGTAGTCGTTGCTGCACAGCTGGCAGCGCTGCCTCACGCTGCTGTGCGTCGCCTGCAAGGACGGGGCGTCACTTTACACCCAGCCTCCCATTTCTGCTGCAAGCCTCGCGGTAACCAGACAAAAGTTCACCATACAGCTCACCGGACAATACCTCACCGGACAAAAGCTCACCAGACAAAAGCTCACCTGTTTTTTCAGACCCAAACAAAAGCTCACATCTATTTCTTTTTTTTTTTACAGCGGAGTTGTTAAGGGCTAGTTTCCTCAGTATCATGTCCCCCGCAAAGAAATTTCGGCACAAAACTCTGGATAGCTACCGCCATTTATGAGCGACGGCGGCAACCAGACAACCGGCTTGCCAGCCTCGCTCACAGATGGCAGCAACCCTCCAGCTTTTCCACTTTGGTTTTCACCAGAGTGGAAAGGTTGAATTTCTCTAGGCGTCATCCCAGATGTCGTCCTCGAGGTCGTCCTACAAGTCGTCCTTAAGGTAGTCCTAGATGTCGTCCTTGAAATTGTCCAAGGGTCGTCCTAGAAGTTGACCTTGAGGTCGTCCTTGATGTCGTCCGAGAGGTTGTCCTCGAGGTCGTCCTAGAAGTAATTCTTGAGGTCATCCTAGATGTCGTCCTCGAGGTCATCCCAGAAGTCGTCCTTGAGGTCCTCCCAGACGTTGTCTTCAAAATCGTCCTAGACGTCGTCCCTAAGGGCATCCTAGGTGTCGTCTTTGAGGTCGTCTAGATGTCGTCCCTGAGGTCGTCCTCAAGGCGTCGCCACCGAACTTCGCTGAATATGGTCAAAGGACGGACGGCGCTTTTCAGCAACTCAAGAGCGATGGGTTCCCGCGTAGCGAGCAGATGTAATTTTTAGTCTCTTGTTTTTTAGGATGATTAGAGCTCGTAGATTCAGTTATAACTTGTGACCATAAAACGAGGATCTCAAAAAGCACTTAGTAAACCTTTAAACTCTGCAGATTTTATTTATTTATTTTTTTTTAAGTTTGATTTGGCTGGGAATTGACAGACTGCATAATAACCCTTTCTCAACTGCCAGCCAAAATATTTCATCAAGCAAAAAATGCTTCGTCGAGTTACTGAACTTTCGAATTACGCTGGTCGCAAAAGTTCTGAAGGGCGACTCCCTCTGGCAAATATGAAAAGTCCCTACTTTTCCCTATCCGTGTACGTCAGCTTTTGAGATTTTTCTTTTGCAACTTTAAGCTTGAAAGTTTCTGTCCAATGGGTAGCAATCTGTGCTCTGCAGTAGACTGCAAAAACAGTACTGGAAAAAAACCTTTGTTTGTCCCTTATTTTTGTGGACACAAAAAAATGTGGAGTCTGGCAACAGTGGGGGGGGGAGCAATGTCAAGCTGCTTTTTCGTGAGTTGAGTGCCCAGAGAACTAGTCCAACATGAAACGCTCTTGCCCATGCTCGAAATACTTTACGGCCGTATGATGAGAGTTCAGTATCCTACCGCAGTCGACTTCTAGTACCTTCTGGACTTCTAGCATTAAGGAAAGCACTTCCTTGTAAGAAAAGAATTGGAATTAAGGTTATAGAGCATCAAGGAAAGCACTTCCTTGTAACAGTAGACTACTACGGTGAATTTTGCGAGATTGATCAGCCGCTGTACAATACATCTGCAGTTGTCATCAGGAAACTGAAGATGCATTTCGTGGGCTATTCGACACCTGTGATCATTATCGGCGATAACTTGCCACTAGCATCAAGGAAAGCACTTCCTTGTAACAGTAGACGGCTACAGTAAATTTCATGAGATTGATAAGGCCTACTACATCTGCAGTTGCCATCAGGAAGAAGATGCATTTCGCCAGCTATGCGATACCAGTGGTCATCATCAGCGATAACTAGCCACAATTTGAAAGCACGGAAACCATGAGTTCTGCCAAGGAGTGCCGGTTTTGGCACCGGACCTCAAGCCCAGGTCACACATGGTCCAATGGAACGGCCGAGCCGGCAGTGAAGACTGCCGACTCAGACTGACACAAGATGAAGATTGACAAAAGAAGAACTAAAAGAGTTCTGTCAAGTACCACTACAACCAACAAGGATCTGCTAACTTTAAAGAAAAAAGTATGAGTCCCCGTGCTCTTTTTTGCGTCGAAATTGTTGATTCTACGTCCTCCTGGCAATGTCCGACTACTTTAGCGGCCTCGGCAAAATTACCGAGGCTCGTTACACCGCAAAACTTTGAGTGAATAATAAACAGGACATGCGGCGATTCCTTCCGCACGGATGCCGCAGAAGGGACGCTAAAGCCCGATCTGCACGACGAGATTCCGCTCGCTGTTTTCAGTCGCGACGTCGCTCGGGCTGCAAAAGCGCGAACCGTAGCCAAGATGGTCGACGTCGATGCTGAAAATCGCAACCGGAATCGAACCAAGTGAATCAAGAATGAGAAGTCGACGATGGCCACTGCTAACTATGATCAAGATCAACGTCTCCTTGTATCTTCTGATTACAACAAGCCTGCTTACCCCAACCGACCTTCAAACTTAAAAGTCTTTTGAGACCTGCACTCACTTCTTATCGCAATAACCGGGCAAAAGTTTGGTCTACGGGCCGGTGTCGTCCGAAAGAGCAGACGACGAGCAGAAACGTCTGAGAGAGTAGACAGCGGCTCGAACGATGAGGCGGCCGTTTGAACTTGATGACGCACCAAACGTAGTCCGCAAGTGGTCCGTACAACTTGACGGTTTTCCCGCGTTCGTGTCGGAACAAAACAAATAAGTAGTATCCGTGAATTCAACCTAAAGTGCTTCTTGCCCGAGCAATCGTGGTCCGACAGCGTCTGTGTTTCCCTTTATGCGACAAATGTCCGCGTCCTCGGACGAACCGAGCACGTGAAAACCGACCTAACCTTCCTAAACTCTTTTGGTACAGCCCCGGTCGTGGCGTTTCGACGAGAAGGCAGGTTTTCGTCTGGTTTCTTCCAAGACAACGCAAGAATGCACGTCTCGCATGGTGACTTCCGCCCACAGCCCCAGACCAGAAGTGCGCTCGATGTGCAACCGTCGCGCCGTGACGTAACAGAGTTGAGTTTGTGTATAAAAGAACAGCACAAAGGATATTCAAAGGAGGGTCTGATTAAATGTAACAACAGTTGGGGCTACGCAATGGGGCTACACAAAGGTGTAGCTCCATTGCGCTTGGGCCTTTTGCTCATGCTCCTCATAAGGTTTTGAACAGCAAGAGGGACGGTACCTCATGCTCGGCCATGTGACTGCGGTTGCAGCTGCGGAAAGCGCAGCGGGAGCACTTGAAGTAGTTTCCCGTGTGCTTGCGCATGTGGGTGTACAGGTTCCCCTTGGCGTTGGTGCTGAAGTCGCACTGATGGCAGGTGAAGGGCTTCAGGTCCGTGTGGATCAGGCAGTGGAGGCGCATGTGTGACTGGGTCTTGAACACCTGCACGAGGGCCGACACATGCCTATGAAGTCGCCGCCCAGGACCCTCTCCCAAACATTGATGGTTGTGGGGTTACTGACCCTTACCAGATTGCCAAAGAGCTCAACAGCACAACTCACAGCGTTTTTAGTCATCGGGGCACGACCGAAAATACAATTGAACACTTTTTCTTTTCATCTAATGTAATACAAGACATAAATTTAAGTGTGAATGGCATTCGCCTTCTCTTTTTAAAACTTGATGTAAAAAAGCCTTCTGGCCCTGACGGTATCCTCAACGCCTTTCTGAAGCGTTACGCGAACATGATTTCGCAGTATTTATATGTTTTGTTCAATGCATCCTTCGATCAGAGATGCCTGCCTCCTGATTGGCTGTGCGGAAAATTGTGCTTGTGCACGAGGACGGGAGCAAACTGCTGGATGCAAACTACAGGCCAATATCATTATTCAGCAGTTGCTGCAAACTGCTCAAACACATAATTTTTAGCCACATAACTTTGTTTTTACTTCGTCTTTAGAATCCAATAACATATTAGCCAACTTTCAGCAAGGGTTTAGAAAAAAAGCTATCAACCCAGACTCCACTCGTATCAGTTGTACATGACTTCGCCAATGCTATCAACAAAAGGAAACAAATTGATGCAATATTTTTGGATCTATCAAAAGCTTCTGATAGGGTACCGAACTATCTACTACTAAGAAAACTGCAGCGTGTAGGAATTTCTCCCAGCCTTGTGAACTGGATTTCCGTGTATCTGACGAACAGAACACAGTTTGTAGAAATTAACAGTTGTCAATCGCAAAATCTCAATGTCCTGTCAGGTGTTCCCCAAAGGTCTGTCTTGGGACCCCTTTTATTCTAGGTATATGTCAATGACATAGCTGACGACCTTGAATTGGGTGTGACTGTGAAAATGTTTGCAGACAACTGTGTGATTTATACAACCGTCATTAACGCCTCGGACCGATTATCGCTTAACAAAAACTTGTGTAAAATTGCTGACAGTTGTGAGAGGTGGCAGATGGTTATAAACTACACAAAAACATGCGCTCTTAAAATAACACACAAGAAATCTCCTCTCGAACATAAGTATCATGTCCGCAATAACGTCATTGAATCTGTGAATGACATAAAATACTTAGGTCTAACTAGTAATACGAAACTTAGCTGGGACACCCACATAGACAATACTTGCACCAAGGCCTACAAAAAATTGTTTTTTTTTTTTTTAAAGAATTTGGAGCGTGCAATAGGCCATTTGCGAAATTTAAAGCGCCATCTAGTAGCGTACCGAGAACTACGTCTGCCATCTTGTTAGTGGCGAGAAAACGAAACCAGAGACCCGACCGGCAAAGACCCCATGTAAACGAGCGACCGCGCTTCGTGAGGGAGACGCGATGCCAACAATTGCTGCGTGCCGCTGCAGATACAGCGATAAACCTTCGATTCGTAAGTGACATGAATGCAAACGTGAACAGGGTTCACAATTTTTTCCTTACGCAGCTTTTGACAAAAACGATCGGTGACAATGCAAAGAAACATGCGGACGTTATCGCGCGGCGTGAAGCCATTTACAACTAGTGAACTGGGCCCTAATCTTTTCACGAAGTTGTACTAAATTTGTTCATGACCTTCTTTCTCTTTTATGTTCATTGTAGTGTCGGCCTGCCTTTTTCTTGATGCGCAAGCAGCTCAATTCATGCGGACGAGACTAAGGCTGTTAAAGGGGTGGTGCAACGATTTTATGATTAAAAAAATTTGGATCTCGTCATTTTTATCTTGTTTATCGTGTCCCGGAGGATAGAGAAAACATCTCCTTCATTAAAAATGTTGTGATTCCGCTGCATAATCGCAAAGCACAAGTCGAGCTATTGCCCCCACCTGCAGCCCCAGGTGGCAGCCGAAGGAACTACGACGAAAAGATTACGTGACCTCGCTCGGCTCTAAGCTGCAGCATAATGCCCGCTAATGTCAGCAGAGAGAGGGAGGAAGCATCCCCCGAGATAGCACACGGGAAGCTACATGGCACTCCGAACGACGTCACTAGGAGGTGGACCAGGTGTGATTCTGAAGGCTGGGAGTAAGTTGTGGGGTGCCCGAAATGCCAATATTTATCTTTTTTTTTATGCAACAACTAGGACACACAGGCGAAATCGGTTTTCGGTTCTTTACTTCAGAAGTGTCAGAGGGCAACTTCCAGAAATCTTTGATCGAAGTCCGGAAATCGTTGCACCCCCCGTTTTAAGCGGGAGAAAAAGATGGCAGTTTTAATAATCTACGTCACCAACCATAATTGAAGGTGCGTATAGTTAACAGTAGTATGGTTAGGTTCATAGCTGCGGCTAAAACTTCGATGTCGGCAGCAGCAAAAATGTATGTTGCGGACGTCAAATGAAGCAATATGGGCGGTGCCAACTTCATTTTACAACCTCCTTTTCGTCACAGCAAAGGTAGAAATTTTCTTTTGTGCAAAGAAGCTCGGGGGTAGTTTTGAGAAAGTCACTGCAGTTCTTCTGTCAGGGTGGAACAAATGTTTATTAACATCCATCAACTTTAGCCCTTTGCAACGCTTGAAAAATATTGCCCAGGGCAGTTTCTTTTAGAAGAACACAGAGCGTTCCAGCAAAAAACCCTCCGCCAGTAACTACAGAAAAAAAACTATTTTGAGTCATGTATTTGCCTCAGTATACCGCTAAACAGTATGACTTCAAGCGTATTAGCATCGAAAGAAGAATTAAAAAAAGTGTTCCCAAAGTGAAAGGCATGACGGCGTAGTCCCTTCGGAGGCCTGTGCACACGCTGGCGACGAGCTTCCACAGCGAAGGCGTAGGACTTGGTCTGCTGCTTCGAAGAGGTTGTCGCCAGAACGCGCACGCCTCCGAGTGTTTTGTCGGACAGTTGCGGTAGGCTGTTTCAACTGTTCGTCCACATAATATGGTCAGAAGGCGGAAAACAGTTGCTGCGCCATCGCACGTTGCCCGCACGGCTGTCTTTGATGCCTCCACCGCGCTTCGGTACCAACAACACTTGCCAACATTGCAATGGCGACGCTCTCAGTGTTATCAGACCACAAAGCAATTGCGCATTAGGTCCATTGGACTGTCAAACTTTCAGCCTATAAAGCCCTATTCGCCCAGTTATGGAATATGCGTCAATCGTGTGGGACCCATACTTAAAGAATGATATAAAAAAAGTGAAGAGGATTCAGTGACTAAATGCACAATTTATTTTTTCTGATTTTACGCACCTCTCCTCAGTTTCTGAAATGTTGAATAGATGTGGGCTAGAATCCCTCGAAGCCAGGCGGAAATTTGCAAAGATTAAGCTTTTTTTTATAAACTTTATAATAACGAAACTGGCTTAAGTAAAGGCTTGTGTATTCAGCCACCTCCTCAGTGCTCAGCAAGGTTAAACCACTAAAAAAATGTTAGAAAATACGCTCCTAAAAATAATCTATTTAAGTGCTCCTTTTTCTACGAACCCTTGAAGACTGGAACTCAGTGCTATCAGACTGCGTGAATGCTTCAACATCCAATAGTTTTGACTCCTTTCTTATAAACATGTTGTAACCCTCTCCTGCCAGGATGGTGGAGAACCATCCGCAGCAATTCCTAAATAAAAAAAATTAAAAAAATGACCGCATCTCCACGTGTTGAATGATGATGATTGGGGCGAAGCTCAGGTGGTGCTGATGATACTGATTTTGTTCATAGGTAGTACTGATGGTGCTAATATTTTTTTATTGCTCATAGGTAGTGCTGAGTTCCGAGTTGCGTTGGTATGAAATGTGTGGTATGGAACATGGTTATATACGCATTTGAGCATTTGACCGCAGCGCCCTCTCGTCTATAAACATTGAGCCAATGCATGCAAAGTTTAACGCGATTATTTACGCATTTGACCGCAGCGCCCTCTCCTGTATAGACGTTGAGCGGCTACATGCTCCGTTTCATCCATGAGGTCCCCAGCTCTTGAGTTACTACCACATCTCAGAGCCCCCTACTCGTCCCGCAGTCGTGGCCGAGTGGTTGAGGCGATGGACTAGAAATTCATTGGGGTCTCCCCGCACAGGTTCGAATCCTATCGACTGCACAAACATTTTTTCTTTCTTTAAGAAGACAGATGGGATGGCAATCAATGTCAGCACGGACGCCGGACGAACAAGGGCAGACCCTAAGGAGCTTTGCCCCTAAAAAAGAAAAGCTGCTGTTACCACTGGAGATTACACAAAGAAGCCTTTTTCCCGCTGCATTAGGCCGGCACGAGGAGAAAAAAGGGAAGGAACGTGTTTGTAAAGCCCTCTGAAACCCATTAGAAAACAATCCCTAGATTTGAACAAAATTTCCCTTGGCCCCTAGACAAGGGAAATCCCTAGATCTAGGGGAAAATCCCTAAGGTTGGCAGCACTGACCACCGGACGCACCTTCTTGCAGACGTTGCAGGAGAACACGTGCAGGTCGCACACCTCCTTGGGGGCCAAGCGTGCTCCGGGCAGGCAGGTGATCTCCTGGGCCACCTGGTGCTGGGTGTACAGGTGGTCCACACAGCTCAGGTCCACCTTGTTCAGGTGCTCCTCGAAGGCCAGCCGGTCCTCGTCCCTTGAAAACACCGGCACGTGGCGCGGGTCCTCCCGCCAGTGGAGCTTCCGTTCGGTGCCTCCCCCGGGGGGCTCTGCCCTCGCTGCGATACCCACGAGTAGGCAACACTTGTCAAGTATGCGTCCAACACCGCAAGTATGCGACACTCATCACATACTTGTAGCCTAAAGCAATTTTGCGCTTACGCACAAGCTCGTTTGGGCTACAAACACGCGACGGCCACTGCTTCTTTTTGTCCGCCTTTTGCTCCGGCCGGCACAGTCGATCATGATTGACCTAACTAAACTTTGACTCGCCCAGAAAATGCTGCCGCCGTGCATGGAAAATGTCAGTATATATATTTTCACCTCAATATTTCATACAGAAAGTTGCTCCGATAAACCAACCTTATCCCCCATTCATCTGTTTCTTCAATATTGTGGCACATCTACTATGTCGCAACCATTTATATTGAAACAGCAACCATAACATAACGAAATAGCAGTTATAACGAAATAGCAGCTATAACAAAACAGCAGTTATAACGAAAAAGCAGTTATAACGAAATAGCAATCACGATTTTTCATTCCCGCTGGCACTTTATCAATGTATTTGAGTCCATTTTTAGCGAAGGAAATTTAGCGGCTCCCGCAAATATAGCCAAAAGAAATTTCGTGATAATTTAGAGAACAGTTAAATTCGGAAAGTTTACTTTGTCCGCGGCCGAGCAGCCACCCAGAACTGGCTGCAGACTTGCTACAAAGGCCGAAAAAATAGGATGGGCGACCCCTCGGGAGGGGGCGGCCTTACGGGATTTTACCTTAGTCCAGTGATTTCTGATTCCCGTCGAATCGGTTATAACCGGCATCAACGGTACATTGAAAACTTCCGTGCCAAGTCCAAGTTTGGTTTGTTATATTTTTTACTAAACTGGTACTGTCAGGTTGAAATGAAAGGCGATCACCGGAGCGCGTGCCGCTCCGTACATTTTGCGTCGCCTGTCAGCGATCGGGGGAACCCTCGGCGCATGCGCTGTTCAAGTTGAGTGTGCGAGGCTGCGTGTCCTACTGTTAGGTGCTCAGCTCCCGGCTGGCGCACCTGTCCTTCTCCGCAGCGCCGCTGAGGGTGCTCTAAGCCGTCGCCGCGGAGAAGCACAGATGCGCCAGCCGGGAGCTGATCACCTAACAGTTGGACACGCAGCCTCGCACCCTCAACTTGAACAGCGCATGCGCCAAGGGTTCCCCCGATCGCTGACAGGCGGCGCAGGATGTACGGAGCGGCACGCGCTCCGGTGATTGCCTTTCATTTCAACTTGATAGTACATTGAATTACTGTCTGGCATGGAGGGCTGGTTATTGTTGTATTGTTGTTGTTTCAACTCTTGTTGTATCGTTGTCAATGGAGCGCTCGATTCGTTATCGGCTCGACGACGTTTTTATTACGTCCCGAGCCACGACCGCCGGTCACGTCGTCGAGCTTGCGCAATCAAGCGTTCATTCTGCACTCGCCACCAACAGAACACGTTGGCCTTACACGTAGCACATCCCATGCAAACGATCGAGTTGCAATAGTTATAAAATCTGATATAGACCCAAAAACATTAGAGGACCACCGAAGTAATATACAACTTTGCTTTAGAAAGTAGAAGACCACCGAAGTAATATACAACTTTGCTTTAGAAAGTAAGTTTTGCAAAAAAAACAACCTAAACGCTGCGTGCAAGGCGTGCAACGAATTACGAAACGCTCTGAATGGAGGGCAGCAGGGTAAAACAGTTGCTCACGTGCTGCCCCGCACCTAGATCTACCTTTTTGTATTGATTTGCCATTTTATTTTGGGGTGGCAGGAACAAAAGGCGTATTAAAACATCTGACCCAGGTGCTGTACCCCAAACGGGTTTCAGAGCAGCGTAGCTCTCACAAGGAACACACACCATATATACAAATGAAATGCAAGAACAAAACAAAAATAACAAGAAATGTGCACACAATGAAAAGGCTGGCAGCATTTCTACACAATAGTTTATATATGCTCGAAAATATAATCCTATTCTTTTTTTTTAAATGTACCTGCAGATCTTGATTTAGTTGCTACATCGGGAATTTGTGGATGCATATTCAAAAGCTGCGTTAATTGCTGCTTCAATATTTGTTCACCATAATTAGTATGTATTTGGCCTCTATCATATTCCACACGTCTCAAGTTGTATTGGGTGTCTCTTAAGGGAAATCGAGTAACAAAGGACTCCGTATGGTTTTTGAGAAAATGGAAGATTACTTCCGCAAAGTTTAACAATATTAACCGTTGGATAGTAAATAAATTATACTTCTTAAAATGTGTGTGCGATCATTATGGCACAAGCATGCAATGGACCGAATTGCTTTTTTTGTAGTAGTAAAAGTGTACCAAAAGCTCACCTGGTTCCTCCTCAAGCGACTCTCGAGCCACATTCTCCTTGTTGGCCTCCCCCATTGGGGGAGGCTGCCCTTGGGCCGCCCTCCGGGCCCCCCTCCCGGCGCCCCTTCCTCTGCGATGCCTGCCTCGAGACCAGGGCTCCCGCTCGCCCGTACGGTGCACCTTGAAGTCCTCCGTCGTGTCCGTGTCCACCTCCCCCTCGCCTGGGTCTGCAGCGCCCTCTCCCGCCACGGGCGTCCCTTCTTCTGGGACCTCCTTCTGCAGGACAGCTCCGTTCAATGGACCGCTAAATCGTCCATTGAATGGTCTGGAGGCTCCACGTCCACACCATTCCACGGAGCCTAAGGCTCGCTCTGCGTCTAGTAACGTTGGCCATGATCCCAATGCCATCTGTGCAATTGTTTCCATCAACTTCAAATTGTGCACCCTCCTTTTTATACCCATTGAATGAGTTGTCAGAATTTCGATATTTCAGGTTTATTAAATTCATCCTCATACTTTTTTTTTCATAAAATTTTGATGTTCCAGGTTTATTAAATTCATCATTGTACACTTTTTTCCTTCACTTTTATAATGCAATGCTTTTTTTTGCTCATATAGAAAATTATAATAGACAGTTTTAGTGGACCGTATGCTAGAGCTTTGCGCACACAAAGAAATTACCTGTCCTCCTTTTTATACATACTGAACAAGTTGTCAGAATTTTGATATTTCAGGTTTTTTTAAATTCTTCATTGTACACTTTTTTTTTCTCCACTTCTATAATGCGATGCTTTTTTTTGCTCGTATAGAAAATTATGATAGACGGTTTTAGTGGACCGTACGCTAAAGCTTTGCGCACGCAAAGAAATTGCGTGTCCTCCTTTATACATATTGAACAAGTTGTTAGAATTTTGATATTTCAGGTTTATTAAATTCATCATCGTACAGTTATTTTTTTTCTATAATGTTATGCTTCTTTTGGTTTGTATAGAAAATTATAACAGATGGTTTTAGTGGACCGTACACTAAAGCTTTGCGCATGCAAAGGAATTGCGTGTCGTCCTTTTATACATATTGAACAAGTTGTTAGAATTTTGATATTTCAGGTTTATTAAATTCATCATCGTACACTTATTTTCTTTCTCGACTTCTATGTCATGCTTTTTTTCTGCTTGATTAGAAAATTTTAATAGACAGTTTTAGTGGACCGTATGCTAAAGCTCTGTGCACGCAAAGAAATTGCGTGTCCTCCTTTTTATACATATTAAACAGGTTGTCAGAATTTTGATATTTCAGGTTTATTAAATTCATCATCGTAACTTTTTCTTTCTCTCCAATGTCATGCTTTTTTCTGCTTGCATAGAAAATTATAATAGATGGTTTTAGTAGACCGTACGCTAAAGTTTTGCGTACGCAAAGAAATGGCGGGTCGACAGTGCGCATGCGCAGAACACAATAGAAGGGCTAGCATAATGTGCATGCACGCGACGCTGGGGATTTAGCGTAGCAGGCTGGCATGCTTTGCGAGGAGCTCTCGAGATCTCAAGACCCGCGAAAGCGCCCGATTTGAGACTGAGGTTACGTCGACCGGCGTGGCGAGGATGACTGAGCGTTCGCCGTTACGTGTAGTTGCGTGAAGTTCGGCTCCGCAATTCTTTCCGGGACCTACCGCACTTCGATCAAATTGCCGTGCGGCCAGAGGAGTGCGTAGCCAAAACGTTCGCCGTTCGCAACGCATGTGAATGCCACCAACTGCTCGATGCTAAGCCTCTTTGCGCAGTTCGTCGCTATGCGCCGGACACCGGTAGGTCGTGGATTTCTTCCCGCGACAGCATCGATAAAAGGTGCCAGTTGGGGCGATTGGCGGAGGCTCAGTGATCGATTCGGCTACAAACTCGTACTTGGAGCCTCCGTACCCCGCGGAAAAGCGCGCTCAACCGGGCGGCCGCGGCTCGGTTTAATTCGAAATAAAACGATTCGATTGGAAACGTTTTCCTTTTCGATATTCCTTTTGAGGAGCGTGGTGGCGCTATGAGCCCGCGGGATTCTGCGGCTCTGGCAAACTGAATCAAGAAGATCACAAAGATGTTCACTCGACAATGTAACGCACAACTCAAATTGGTCTGAGCAGGTCGTTTTTAGCGTACGCCAGACCATTGCATACGTAAGAGCCAGCAACACCGTACTAAAACTGTTTAATTACGTCTTTTTCCCACTTTTTGTAAAGATTTCAGCTATATCTAAAAAGACACTCCAACGAAAATTTTTTCTTTAAATGGCATAAATAAAACACACATGTTTTAAAATAATTTTTAAAAAAATTAAGAAATGTGCAATATCGCTATATATTGCATATTGCATATGTAAGAGCCAGCAACGTTATCCTAAAACTGTCTAATTACGTCTTTTTCACACCTTTTTTGCAGATTTATGCTATATTTAAAAACACATTCCAATGAAAAATTTTTTTTAAAGGGCATAGATTGGGAGACATTTTTTTAAATTTTTTTTTCAAGAAAAAAAAATGTTCCGTAATATTTATGTTGTTAGACGTAATTTAGCGGAGATCATAGCCTGCTCTAAAGCTCACCCACAGATCAATATCCCCACACAATACTACTGGGATGGCTCGGCTGGTCGGCTGAACGCACAAACAAGTAAAAAACTTGAACCTTTTGCGTAAATGGAGCCTTATCACCTCCCGACTTGGCTACATCCCCGCGCGTGGATGTAGCCTTGGCCGTAAAGTCGACTAACAGTTTGCCAGATTGGGCTATATAAGTAGCCAAATCAGGCTACGTTTTTTTTTCTAGTTGGCGTCAAAAGTTTTGTGGTTGCTATGTAGCTATTTTTGGGCTATTTTTAAGGATGCAGCGAAGCTGTGTTTGCGTGTTTTGTATTTCTGAAAACCAAAAAAGGAAGGGTCAGTGTTGTACAAGTTTCCATCCTTTCGAAGCTTTTTTTTTTTTTTTTTTTTTTTAAATTGACGAGAAACATAATGTACACGAAATGTGGCGAATCTGATGGTTCAAAAAGAGAATGTGACATGCTTTGTATGTGTGTGAAAAATTGTCGATAAAAAGCCTTAAAAATAACTGTTTTTAGTTTCGGCTATTCGCTTTTACAGCTCTGTCTATTTCTGGGCTATAGGTCCCAGCCATTTGGCGGTTTTTTGGTGGGATCGTCTGGCAACACTGCTAACCAATGGTTGACTCGGGCTGGTTAGGGTAAGTTTAAACATGTGTGCGCGGACATGCCCATCTCAAGTTTGGCTGGTCAAGCTGGACCACTGCAACCTGATTGGCAAACCTAATGAAAGGCACTTGAACTGCCATCCCATTGAATGCCTCAAATGTCTCCATATGCAGCTCTGAGCTTAGCATTAGGGCAGTAATATTAATGATTTATTTGCCGACTAATCTCTTAACCGATTGTGCAACATATAGCCTTTTATGGGGACGAGCATAATCTCTGCCAAACTTTCGATGAATGCTGGGGAGGCACCCCTCTCAGGTAGTGATGCAATGCCCTACGGAGGAGATCATAGTCATGCCTCAATGGATGGCCTTCTAGCTTCAACTGGAAGAGCTCAGGGAACCCCCAAGGGGGACCTAGAGTGCCATACAATGAGATCATGATCATGCCTCAATAGATGGCCTTTTCGCTTCAACTGCAAGAGCTCAGGGAACCCCCAAGGGGGACCTAGAAGGCCATACAATGAGATCATAGTCATGCCTCAATGGATGGCCTTCTAGCTTCAACTGGAAGAGCTCTGGGAACCCCCAAGGGGAACCTAGAGTGCCATGCAATGAGATCATGGTCATGCCTCAATGGATGGCCTTTTCGCTTCCACTGCAAGAGCTCAGGGAGCCCTCAAGAGGGACCTAGAAGGTCATAGTCATGCCTCAATGGATGGCCTTTTAGCTTCAAGTGCAAGAGCTCGGGAACCACCCAGAGGGATCTAGAAGATCATACATGGCTCTAGGTCATGTATGACGAAGGTCTACATGTATGACCTGGGTCCAGAGGGACCTAGGTCATAGTCATGCCTCAATGGATGGCCTTTTAGCTTCAACTGCAAGAGCTCAGGGAACCCCCAAGGGCAACCTAGAAGGTCATAGTCATGCCTCAATGGATGACCTTTTAGCTTCAACTGCAAGAGCTCAGGGAGCCCCCAAGGGATACCTAGAAGGCCATACAAATGTATAATGTTACTGTGGGGGGCCGCGAGGCCCTGCCACATTATTTAAAGTTAGGACATAGAACGAGACAAGCGAACGACGTGTCTGCCTGTAATGGCGGCCTCAGAGCATTCTTTTGCACGCGCTCTCCGAGGCGCGTGCTGCGCCTCGAGCCATCTCTTTTATTTTCATGAGAAGAATGGATCTGTGGGTGCGTTGCACCCTACATTACCTTCATCACTTGCAGCCACTCTGGAGTCAGAGTGGAACCCGAGTAATCAATGCTCTAACTACTTTAAGAGCCAGGAACGTGGGAGGGGAAGATGGGCACCCACCTTGTCCAAGTTGTCCACATAGTCCCCTCTGGCCATGCATCGATGGCCCAGGATGTGCCTCTCCTTGCAAAACCTGCGCTTGCAACGCGGGCAGTGGTAGAGGCCGTCCTCGCTGCGAGCCGGCACCAGGGGCGAGTTGTCCACCTTCTTGGTCGCCGGGCTGGGCTGGGGCCTGGCACAGGGAGGCACACCATGCTTGGCAACCACTACCAACTACAAGTGGCAGCACAAAGCCCACTGAGCAAAAGACGTCTCGCAGCCAGCTTGAAACGGCTAGACTAAGTAATTAGACGTCTATGCAAGATATCTTGAGACGTCTTATAAAGGTGTCTTATAGACGTATTGCGTAGCCAAAGACGCCTCTAGCTTAATCGAACCGTTTCAAGCCGGCTACGAGACGTCTTGTGCTCGGTGGGAGGGGTGCCCCGAGCATACCGACAACTCACCTGGCGAGCTGTTCAGTCTTGCGGGGGCGCCCCCTCTTGCGTCGGGGGGGTGCCAAAGGGCCGCTGCTCTCCACCACCAGGTGCAGCGTGGTCGGCTGCGCGCCGCCGGTCGTTTGGTCCTCGCCGGTGCCCTCAGCAGGAAGTGTCTTGAGGGCCTTGCGATCCTCTGCCGCCAACGCTGCAAGTTGCGAGTTCGAAGCACCTTCTTGGCCACAGTGTGCTCCCACGTAACGATTGACTGCCAACATGGCCACCGTCACCGTGTGCCTTCGCACATTGCGCACAAAGGCACATTGCTACCTGCATTTCTTGCAAGTTCCTAACTTTGTGGATGAATATTTGAGCTATAAATCAATTTACAATGTCTATGCAGGCTGAATGTGTGTTGAAGTCAACTTTAAAACACCGCTTTTGCAAAACACAATTTTAGGGCATGTTGAAAATTTGCAGGAGGGATGTCTCGGCATCCACCTAGGGCAGATAGAAATGCAACTTTTTTTTCTGAAACATGTAGCTAAATGTGTGAAGCATACAATGTTGAGAGCAATTTCTTAATACAGTCATGTCTCGTTAATATGGACCCCGTTAATCGGGACACCCCGCAATATGGACGAAATTTTCGGCGACCGGTCTCCCGCCATGCAATTCTGTCCCGTTAATACAGAAACCCGCAGTCCGGACTATGGACGGCTATTTTGGGGACGAAACGGGAAAATACAGGCATTTTTGTCTCGTTAATATGGACACGTGTCCACGAAAAAAAAAATATTAGTGACCCCAGTGTGTACTACTCGGAATTCACCATTGCCTTTTTGTTCCCCGTCTGGTTACTTTGAAGGCGAGTCCACATACCCGACAGAAGAAAAGGTTAGTGAATCGTAGGGGTCACAGTTTGCACCCGGAATTCACTATTGTCCTCCGCCCTTGAGATAAGACCTGCGCGCCTGAAGGTGGTCGTTTTTTGTTTTTTTTTGTTTCTTGTTTTTCAAGCTTAAACGTATGCCATCTCCTTCCGGGTTGGCATACGTGATGAATCACATTCGTTGTGCATAAGAGGCAAGAGGCAAGGCTGGACGCTTCTCCGGTCATTTCGGAGGTGGAGACGATGGCAGGTGTTAAGCGTAAACGGACAGAGCTTTCTGCTCAGCTGAAAAAGGAGATATGCAAATTCAAAATTGAAACGCCTTCAGCGTCTGTTCAGTACGTGAAAGAGTGGAGTGGAAAAAACCTTGGCGTTGATCTCGGAAAATCGACAGTCCACGCAATTCTAAAAGAATCAAATAAATGGATGAGCGTTCCCACAGCCAGCTCCAGTTCCTGCCGGCAGCGACCCCCAAAGTTTGAGAAGTTGGAGGAGGCCGTCAACATCTGATTTGCGGAAATGCGCTCCAGAGGGGCCGCCGTCAGCGACGAGATGCTGCAAGAAAAGGCGAAGGAGTTCGGCACAACGACGGGTAAGTAAGTTCTGAGCGTATCTTTTTAAGCACTGAGTTTGAAAATGTTTTCTCAAAACGTTACGCATTCCTCCCCAAAAATGTTGTTTCTTCTAATGATTTTTCTAGTTGCTCGTTCTTGTGCAATTACGCATCTACGTTAAAATAACTGTTCTCTCTTCAGTGGTTTTATTTTAATGTCTGCAATCTTCACGTCTTTATGCAGACATTCATGACCTGAACTACTCAAGGGGTTGGCTCAGCAGGTTTAAGAGAAGGCATGGAATTTCAAGCCACCGTATTCATGGAGAGTGGAAGCGTGGATACAGCCGCCGTTGCCAGTGCTCGGAAACAGCTTGCGGAATTTCTGGCTCAGTATTCTCCAGATGATATTTACAACTTCGACGAGGCTGGCTTTTTTTACAAGTTGGGCCCATCTTCGACTCTGGCATCCGAACCTGTGGCTGGAAACAAGCGAAGCAAAGAGAGAATCACGGTGGGATTCTTGCGCAACGCGAGCGGCACCCACAAGTGGAAGCCCATTGTCGTGGCAAAAGCGGAGCGACCACGATGTTTTGGAAAGACATTTGACCCGAACATGTATTGCTCCTACAATTGCAACAAGAAAGCATGGATGACAGGAAAGATATTTGAAATCTTCTTGGCAAAATTCGACCGCTTCTTGAAGGCTGAGAAGAGGAGGGCTGTTTTGTTGGTTGATAACGCATCATGCCATTCTGTTCGTGCGGACTATGAATACCTTACCTTGAAGTTCTTTCTGCCCAACATGACTGCCAAAACACAGCCCTTGGACGCAGGAATTATTCGCGCGGTTAAGGCACACTACAGAGGTGAACTTGTGCGGCACTACATCGCTTGCGCGGAAGACAATGAACCGCAAACTGTTGACTTGAGGTGGTGCCTTCAAAAGCTGAAGAGGGCGTGGGACGCGGTGAGGCCTCAAACCATTGTGAACTGCTGGCGTCACGCAGGTATTCTTGTTAACAGCTCTGCTATGGAGGTGGAGGATCCGATGGATGAACTTCCGCTCGCGGCCCTTCGTGAAGCTCTTCGACAACTCGGGGAGAAAACCCAGATGAAGAGGCATCGGCATTCTTGGATATAGACGAAGAGACTAACAGCTGGGAGCCTATGAGCGACGAGCAGATCATGGAGCTTGTCGGTGAATTCGCTCAACAGGGCCATCAACTTGTCGAAAACTTTGCGCCGACAGAAACAGCCGATGAAGAAGAGAGACCAACCGTTACTCGATGTGAAGCTTGCCGTGGCTTGGAGACAGCGATCGCCTACCTTGAGCAGGAGGGGGACGGAGAACGTGCACTTCAAGTGGCCGAAGTGTTGCGCTTTTTGGACATTAAAGTGGGATCGAAAGCGTCAGTGCAAACTCATATCTCCTCGTTCTTTGGCGAAATAAACAATGCTTTTTTTTAACAATTATTACCTAATGTTTGTGTTTTTGACCTTGATTCGTTATTATGGACGATTCACATTATGGACGATTTTTCTGGAGAACGGAGGCGTCCATATTAACGAGACATGACTGTATAGGTTTAAGAAATATTTTATCTGATCTTTTGTTTTATTACTTGTTAGCCACACATTGAGCACTGAACTTCAATGTGTGATGAAATCACTAATAATCGGTTAATATTAAAAGTGCTTCCAACATTGTATTCTGTACACTTTGTAGTATCTAGCCATGTGTTAAAGAGAATATTTGATTGAGTAGGTAGTTTTTTTTTTTCCTATTATTCCTCCACTCAAAGTCAGTTGAGTTTTAATTATCTTGAAGACAATTTTAAATGACTGAGAAAATGACCTGATGTTTGAAATCAGCACAAAAAGCTGAATAAGCTTCTGCTGTTTCATTGGGTTTGGTCATAAAATAATGAAAAAAAAGCTTCAAGACCAGTGTTCCCCCCCACTCTTGCAGCTTGGTTCGGTTTTCTTGCATTGTTGTCTTGGTGCGCATGATGCCCATAATCAATGTGCGTGTTCCATACACTCACAGTCCTTCCCACTTGCAACCTTAAGATCAAAACAACAAACTCTAGGTGTTGGTTACATTGACATCGAGTATGCGATGCAATATATCTCGCTCTACACAAATCGTAAATTTTTCATCTGGGTATCTGCCCTCCTAAATCATAGCGGCGGCGGTACACGTACAAGGAAACTGAACCTCAAAAGGTTATCACCGGATTCTATAAAGTAGAATGAGTAGTGATGGCCGACGCCGAATCTTGGGATTTGGCAAAGCCCAACTTTCGCCGAACTTTTCGAAAGTATCGGCAGAGGTACATTGTTATCCAACTTAACGTTGTTATTTAGTTTTTTCTGGCAAAAAAAGTTTTTAGTTTTTTTTTTTTTTTTCTTAACTTAAATGTACCGTATTTGCACGAATATAACGCGAGTTTTTTTCCGAAATTACGTGCTCCAAAACGCACCTCGCGTTATATTCGGAATCGAGTTCAGCCACGAGGCGCGCGAGTCTGGAGAAAGCCAGAGGAGAAAGTCATCCCTCCGGCTCAATGCAAAAGATCCAATGGGAAAAGAAGTGGGGGTGTGGAGGGCCATTTTCTAGCCATTGGGCCACGTGAAGGGGCGAATAGAAAACATAAAAAAGCATTTTTATCGCTTTTGTGTTTTTACATCGCGCGCACGCTGCACGCGCGCGCGCCATGCGGGAATGCGGGCACCGGCCAATTCGAGCCAAGCCAAGCCGGGCCAAGTCAAATCAACACAAGCCAAGCCAAGACCACCGACCGCGTTTACGCAATCGTGCAACACGAGGCATTTGTTTACGAAGAGGGACCAGAACAAGAAGTGTGATCGTGTATCGGGTTCAGCAGTCTTTTTTCTGCCAGCGCATTGTTTAGTTTCTGCTCCAGAGTGGTCTGGTGTTTGTGTGTTGGTGCTTCTGCTTCCGCGCCTTGTTTGGATTGTGGGCTGCCGAGGAGCTCCCACGGAAGAAAAAAGAACTACCAGACAAGCAGGTGCCGTGCTGCTGCATACCTGCGTAGTCGCCAAGTGGATTGTAAACGGAAGGACCTGAGCAGTGAGGATGAGTGCAGTCAAAACATAAACAGATATTTCTTCCATTTCCATTGACTTTTCACTTCTGCTATGCCCCCAAGTGCGAGAAATTGACGCGGCATCGGTTCGCGTTATAATAGTAATAATATTTTTTTTCTTTTTGGGGGCATCAAAAACTGCCCTCGCGTTATATTCGTGGTCGCGTTATATTCGTGCAAATACGGTAACATGTACTGCATATTCACACAGTTATTACTAAATAAGCTGATATTCTACAAGATAATTGTATCGGTGTCGTTTTTGTGTATTTCTGGCAATTTTAGAGTGACTTATTGCAGAAGTGACATGACAATGAGGTTTGGAGTAGCGAGTGCAGTCACAAACCACGCTACGAGAGTTTCGGTCTTGAGGCCTCATCAGTGCAAGCCTCCACGTGCGTGTACATTGACAAAATAAAGGCAACAACACTGCATTTTCACTTTCTCTGGGAGTCAGCGTTTCGTGTGCGAAAACAAATGCAATGGTTGCTGAGCCTTCACCAGAAGAGATAACAATATTATTGTAAATATGCATGTTCTTCGATTTGAGTCATTGGATGCCAGCTTAGCGTGGAAATGTGCGTCCCATATTCTCAACGTCTCGCTTTTAACCTTTCAGGGAGGGAAGGGGTCAAAGCAGCTTTGGAGCAATTTAGGGAGCAGAAAAAACTACAGTTTGAAGCAGGCTGGCAGTAGACAAAACGAGGTCTTGGGGTAAGCTGGGGGCAGCTTACGAGTTTTGATAATGTTAAAACGAAGGCTAAATGTCACCTGGTTTTTTAAACTGCAGAGAATAAGGCATGCATGGTAATTCCATGTAAACTCGACTGTAGTTTTAATAAACTTTTTAGTTGCAAATATTTTTCACGAAGTTACGTGCAAATTACACAAAACACACGAAGCAAAACTGCACATGGCAGTGTGACACGTGATTAAACTGACTTGCAAAAAGGTATATGTAAACAAATACAAATAGCTTTCATTGTTCAGCACTGACTAGTAAGAGGTACTGAAAATTAAAAATGAGGGTACAATAATGGTCTTTCATTTTTCAGTCACTAGAATAAGATAATAAATGCCCTTTTACATATAAATTTATAAAGACTTCGTCAACTGCTCACAAATACACTTCACTTTTTCGAGATCCTGAATAAATATTGCGTTAGCCTCTGCTAACAGCACTTGTCCAGACTCAATCTTCTCCATCTCTATTTTTTGACCCGACTCAATCAACGACTGTGCATGCTGAAGCACAGTCCGCGAAGAGATGATGCGCTGTTCAAGTTGTCGCTCGTGCTCTCTTCGAACTCGCATGACTGTTCTTCCTCTTCTGCCTCTCGTCGCCTTGCTTTTCGACCTCTAGCCCTTTCTGTGTAAACTTTGTAGAAAATATTTGGCAGTTTGCAGCAAGTCTGTTGTTGTCAAAGGTACTTTCGTGACATCACTGCCAAATCGCTCCAAAGCGCAATCAAGATCTGGCAGTTCGTATCTTGCTCCATCCATACACCTCACTGCTCGCTCCCCAAATTTGCTCCCAAATTTTGTTTGCCCCCTCCCCTCCCTAATTTGTAAGATCCGAAAACCCGAATTTGTAAGATCTGAGAATATATGCACAGTACATTGATATGTAAAATTGACGACCGGACAAGCGCCATCCCTCCTTTTTTCACGATTGATTATCTCTAAATATTGAGTGGGCGCTTGCCCGGTATTTTATGGTAATTGAAAATAATACTAATTGAAATACTAATCAAAGCAGGTACAGATAGCTATGTCGGCCAGATGTATGCTTATCTGCACTCAGAGGAAATCGAGTTCCTTAGTTTTTGGTGACTGTAGGTTCTTGCGCTAATCTTTAGTCTCGCCGTTCCCGCGTGCTGCCTCGAGGCTTTTATCTCGTTCCGAAGTGTTTTGCGTTTATAAATTTTTTATGGTGGTTGCTGCGGCTGGTTTTTACGTCTCTCTTCAATAAACTTTCACATGGAATCAGCGCTCGCCCCGCCGACTTCTACTAAGCAGACTTTTTTAAAAAATCGAGAAAACAGCGAAACAAACACAAGTTGTTGCACTGTCTTCTCGATTTAATATAAACTGTGTTTAGTTTTCAAACGCACATACGCCGTGTGACGTCGCTAGTGCGAGTGGGACTCCTTTTCGCGCTTTGCTCAGTTTTGTTATCGACCGACATAATCGCTCCACCCAAGTCATTGTCCCGGACGAGCAAATTGCGGCACACTAGCAATGTTGGCGATAGCTTTCGAGACGCGAGAGAAACGCAAAAAGAACCGGCAATCTCTCGTGCTCTGAGCGAACTTTCCTTCTCTCGCCCGTCGGCACTGCTCGGTCCTTTTTAAGGGGGGGACACTACCCAGAAAAAACAATTTCTGCAAAAAATATAGATTTTGAAAAATGCGATATTTACATCCACCAACAACCAGAGAGTATTCCCAGAAAGTTTCATCAGTTTACACTGCATAGTGAATTTTTTATAAATTATTTTTGGTCCAGCGACGCTAAACAAAAGGGAGGAGAATTGGTGCCCTTTTAACGCGTTTTTCTCCGTTCCACTTTTTAGCATTAATTTCACTTAAGGAAACTACCATTTCGTTATTACACAACTTTGGTTTTTCTGGGGCGAAATTTTAAGGGAAAGATACCTATGAGCTTGTATTTCTTATTTTTGTCTTTTTTCGTGCTCAAGAACTAAAATTTTAGACAAAGGATGAAAATCTAAAAAACAATATTTGTGTTTATGCGGCTTTTTTGTCAGGAAAGACGGTATAATATAGAAATATAGCTCCATAGCTATCTGCTCTGAACTGTCCTAAAGCAACACAACAAATTAAAACGACAAATTTATAAGCGATTTCAAAACGAGTTTCCCTACGCAGACACGCCCACTTTCATCTTTGAACATTTGCAATTTTTTTTGTACTTCACTCAGGTTAACAAAATTTGGCAGAAATGTTCTCAACATAAACAGAAACAGGCCCTGTAAATGTCATTTCAATCAGACAACCGGTTCAAACATTCACTTTTTTGGGTAATGTCCCCCGTCAAGGACACTAGGAAGGTCCTTTTATAAAGGACGGCCGGGGATCCTTTTGAGCGTCCTTTCCCTCACCTGCGGGCGCCAGCTGCTGGAGGCGGTAGTAGGCCGAGAAGGCCTCCTCGGAGCCCTTGGCCACCGTGCGGTCGTGGCAGTCGCCCACGTGGTTCAGCATCTCGTCCTCACTCAGCGCGAAGCATTGGCACAGGCTGCAGGCGTAAATGTCGTTGACCACGCTGTTCTCTGCAATCCATGAAGAGGAGGAGTCCACAGGTGCGAACGCTCAAGCTTGTACGCGTGCTCGGATTGCTCTCAAACTAAGAACACTCTCAGTTTGAGCATTGCCAAAATTCACGCACAACTCGCTTTCGAACACTGTCAAAAAAAGTCCAATTTACACCCGCACGAGCAGCAAATTTATTCATTTCTATTAAACGCACAATCAAATGCTAATGGTATCCAAAAAGTGAAATCCCGTTGTCGTGTTGGTCGTGCTATTTCACCGAAACCGAAAGAAAACTAGTGTAACAAGCTTTCGTTCTACGCGTTGCAGTACTTGAGATGCACAGAGTTTCTTCCAACTCAATAGACAATATCCGAAATGTAGAGCGCCATCCCGTAGCCCGCCGAGAACTACGTCCACCATCTTGGTGGCGGCGAGAAAACGAAACCAGTGACCCGACCGGCAAAGACGCCGTGTAAACAAGCGACCGCGCTTCGTGCATATGCGATGCCAACGCGTTGCTGCGTTCCGCTGCAGGGGCAGCGATAAACCTTCGATTCGTGCCTGACGTGAACGCAAACAGGGTTCATAATTTATTATTATTTTTGTTTGTTACTTGAGATAAAGCTTTTGACAAAAACAATCGGGGACAACGCTAAGGACACATACAGACATTATCGCACGGCGTAAAGCCATTTACAACCATTGGCCTGGGCCCTAATCTTTTCACAAAGTTGTACAAAATTTGTTTCTTAACTTTTTTTTTTTATGCACGTTGTATTGTCGGCCTGCGTTTGATGCGCAAGGAGCTCAATGTATGCGTACGAGACCAAGGCTGTTAAGCGAGGCAAAAAGATTACAGTATTAATAATCTGCACCACCAACCAGAACTGACCACGTGTATGGTTAACAGTGAACAACAAAAGCTGGAAGCACCAAAGAGCCCTCATTTTAATCTTATATTAAAAAAACTACTTTGGAAAGCCAGAAAACAGTCTCGCTGCTTTGCGGCGATTTCTATACACTTGATCTGGCGTCGCTAAATGAGGCTTATAAAACACCTCTAAAACTAAACAGGAGAGTTTGTTGATTCAATATTCTTAAATATTTAAGGTGCGGTCATGTAGAATAAACACAACAGACACAAAAAATGTGTCTGTTTGCTCAACACTCACAGACACGGGATTTCTGTCTTTTTTGTCAAACGCCATGTTTCATTACATCGAATATGGCGCTCGACTTAGGTTCATCGCAGTGGCTAAACCTTCAATGTCGGCGGTAGCGCAACATCCGTCAAATGTGCTTGAAGTCAATGCTATCTGAAACCAATTTGAGCTCTTTGCAACGCTTGAAAATAATTGCCCACGGCACAGTTTGCTTTAAAAAAACACAAAACTTTCCATAAAAAAAAAAAGAAAGCCGTTTACAACTCCCTGTAACGCCGAATTAGAGCGCAGCTCTTGAGGAGGAGGAGGGGAGGGTACTGGTGGGGGGGGGGGTCAAGTGACCTCGGGGGGCGGGAAGTCACGTGACCTTGGGGGTCACGTGACCTTGTGGGAGTCACGTGGGGCGTCACGTGACGTCGGGGGGGTCACGTGACCTGGGGCCCCGTGACGATGCCGATGACGTTATCAGTGACGTCACTGATGACGCCATCAGTGATGATGACGATGCGGATGCCGGTGACGTCATCAGTGACGTCACTGATGACGTCATCAGTGATGATGACGATGACGATGCGGATGCCGGTGACGTCATCAGTGACGTCACTGATGACGTCATCAGTGGCTATGACGTCAACGGGGGGTCACGTGACCTCGGGGGGTATCCCCAGGTCACGTGACCCCCCCCCCCGTGGTCACGTGACCTGGGTAACCATCGTGACCCTCGTGAGGGTAACCCTAGTAACCCTTGTAAGGGCAACTCTCGTGACCCTCGTGAGGGTAACTCTCGTGACCCTCGTGAGGGTAACTCTCGTGACCCTCGTGAGGGTAACTCTCCCCAGGCGAAAATTTCTAACTGGGACCAGTTGGCACCTCAACTGGTTTCAACTGGGACTAACTGGTCCCAACTGGGAATCAACTGGGACTAACTGGTCCCAACTGGGAATCAACTGGGACCAATAGGAGTCCAACTGGGGCCAGCTGAGGGGTCAACTGGTTTGAACCATTCCCAGTTGGGAGTCAACTGGTTTGAACCATTCCCAGTTGGGAGTCAACTGGTTTGACTCCCAGTTGGGAATGGAGTGCACTGGAACCAGTTAGGAAGGTAACTGGTTGGAGCGATTCCCAGTCGGACTTCAAATGCCTTTCCCGTTCCCAGTTCACACTGGGCAACAATTTGGACAAGTTGGGGGTGTATTGACCTTTGCTAATGAAGAAAACTAAAAACACTAAAATTTTTAGATTTATACAAATAGGGAATTTTAATTACTGGGGTACATTTATATATTTATAAAAATAATATAAAAATTTTAATGAACTAAATAATTTTTTAATTGGAAAATATAATTAGTGACAAAATGTGTTCACCTAAATGAACATTTAGTGCATTATTAAAATATATTAAAACATTTATTTAAATACCTACAGTATTTTTTTTTTCTTTTAATAAATAAATTTATCTTTTGACTAATCCGAGCTAGCCGGCCGCCGTGGCACGCGGGTGCGGATTAGTGGTACGCGCTGTCGACAGATGGCGCTGCCTATGCTGACGCCGGAGTCGGACGGACGCTGTAGAGAAGGGTCGCCATCGCCCAAGTTGGCGTCGTTATGAAAATGTCAAAACTACAGCTGCGCTTCTTTGGACCTAACTGTACACACACCACGGTGGCGGTGGTGAACTTCGAGGATGGAAAGATGCAGTTCAGCGATCGGAGGGCACCCAGGAAAGACCGGACGGAAGAGAACACGCCGCGGAGAGCACAATGGCGAAAATGGCGGGAGGTCTACCTCGAAAATGTTCGACTATTGTGACAGAGATTGCAGGGTGGGAGCGCTACCGCATCTTATCAGGACTTCACCTGCGCAACGTGGGATCACGGGTGAGCACCTTTCTCCACGCGATGGGAAGAGAAGCTGAGGACATCTTCACTAACAGACGCCAGCGGCCGATCTTCCTTCATCTCATGAATACCACCTCTGAAAAAGCGATTCAACCGTCGCAAGCAAGTGGCTAAACCCGGAGCGTGTACGTCACCGAACCTATTTAGTTTCATTCTCCAAGTTTTTGACAATAAAGTATTGTCAACCTTCCATTTTGTGCCGTGTTTCATTGTTGCTGGAGTTGGTACCAACTCCAACTGGGACCACTTGTAACTGGGACCAATTCCAGCTGGGACCAACTCCAACTGGGAATTGTTCCACAAAACCAGTTGCAACTGGGACCAACTGGTCCCAGTTGGACGACTCCAACTGGGACCAGTTGCAACTGGGAATTGTTCCATAAACCAGTTGCAACTGGGACCAACTGGTCCCAGTTGAAAATTTTCGCCTGGGTCATAACCCTCGTGAGGGTAACCCTCGTGAAGGTAACCCTTTTGAGGGTAACTAACCCTCGTAACCCTCGTGGAGGGTAACCCTCGTGAAGGTAACCCTTTTGAGGGTAACTAACCCTCGTAACCCTCGTGAGGGTTACGAGGGTAAGTAACCCTCGTGGCCCTCGTGAGGGTAACCCTCATGAGATTAACCCTCATAACCCTCGTAACCCTCACGAGGGTTACGAGAGTTGCGGTTACGCCGACGCCGACGGCGACGCCGCTCAAGCCGGGAACGGGCCCCTAAGAGCTGCGCTCTAAAAAAAAAAACAAGAAACCTTCGCCAGTAACAACAACAACAAAATATATAAACAGTACGACTTCATGCCTATTCGCACCGAAAAAAGAATTAAAAGTGTTAAATGAGAGACATGATGGCCTAGTCCCTTCTCCATGTTGGGTGATCTGAAGTCAGAAAACAATAATGTTTCTGTATAGCACTCAGTGGCAGAGCGTCCATGTTCTGGAAATGCTCAGAAACCGAAACTCAAGATACTTGATGCTACCAGGATGGCCGCGTGCACAGTGCTGCCAGACCACCAAGCAGCCTCACATATTGCCCATTGATAAACAAGAAAGGACACGTAGCTGACCGGTGGTTTCGAACGAGAAGCTGTCCGTGATGATGATCGGCTGGTTCTTGGGGTCCGACTCCAGGCTGCAGCCAGGGTCCGGATCAGCTGCGGTGAGCGTCACGATCGAACGACCGTCGGACAACGAGATCAGCTCCCGCGAGTCCGGCGTGCAGGCGGGCACCAGGGACAGGCTTTCCATGCCTTCCATCCTCAACTCGAGCTCCGCCACGCCTGTGAAAAGGAGACACTGTTCACGCGTGTCCCAGATGAGCACTCCACCATTCCCTCTTTTCAGACAACGCTCACCGCCCAGAGTTTCCTCACTTGGGGTTAAACCAAACCCCGAATATCAGTGGGAAAAAAAAGTTGGTCTTATATGTTTGGACAGGGCCTCCAGTTTCCTAATCCAAATCTCAGACTATTGACAAGAGCCACAGTTCCAGTTTCCAGTTCAGACCACACCACTTCTGTCTCTAAGAAGGAGGGGTTGTGTTTTCTGTCAAGTGTCATTTAACAAAGGCAAATTCTTACAAATTTAGATTTTTTTTTTTTTTTTTAAATAGGGAACACAGCAAAATGAGTTTCAGAATTTCTGAGGATTCAGAATTTACGACAATGACATCCCCACCTAATTTCACGCAAAACAAACTCTGAAAACAGGGACCCATGAAACACAATAAAACTCTGATTGATTGATGGATGATATACCGTAAAAACCCGCATACAATACGAACCCGTGTATAATACGAGGAATGATTTGAGGACCGCGAAGGAAAAAAAAAAGTTTTATCCGCGTATAATACGAAACAATTTAAGGACCGCCAAACATTTTCCGCGTAAAATGCGACCCAGGTAGTCTTTTAAGAAAAACGTATATTTGCGTCGCAATTGAACCTTAATCGCCGACGCAGTGAAAGCCCGGCGCGAGCGAGCAATGTCGACTCGCCAAAGTTCTCTCACTCTCAGTCCTGCAACAGCTCAATGTTCACGGCGACGTGCCGTAAACATCGAGCGTAAACGCCGCCTGGTCGGTGTCAGGGGCACAAAACGTGTATGGGCGCATGCCTCTCCCTGAATACCTGCACACCGGGCGGCACTGTGCAATACAATAGAATACAATACACGTTGCTCTTTTACAAAGTCGCCGAGATTTGCCTGGACGTCGGCAAACACGCCATTCTTTGGGCGCCTAAAGCTTCTCCTCGTCCCGTTGTATGCGAACAGAGCTTGCCTTTGCCATCTCCATCTGCAGATGCTGCCTTCATTTATGGCGAATCGTCGCCCTGCAGCACGGCTGCCGATGTCTTCCGCAACCAAAATCACTTTTCGTTTGAAGGCGGCCGTGCTTGCCGAGTACCGTTTTCGCGCCGACGCCATTGTCTAGCCTGAAACCGTGGACGCATGGTGGCGCCTCGGGCAATATGATTTGAATGATGATGATAGCTGATTTGAATGCCATACCGCTTCCAAACCAAAACTATGTCAAGCTGCAGTAGATTGCGCCTCATCGAAGCTGAAAATCGTTGGGACCCGCGTATAATACGAATTGCAAATTTTGCATAGCAAAATTAAAAAAAAAAAAAAAACTTGCACTATATGCGGGGGCTTTACGGTTTGCAGAAAGTGCGTGATCAGCAGACAATAAAGCAATAAAACCTCAACTGATGTGAAGTCGGTGCGCTTTTTGGCACGAGTGTTTGGGCAAACAAAATTGTGGGGCCACACTCCGTTGTGCAGCGTGTTCCAAAACAATTTATAGTGTTTTTTTTCCGCCGCAAAAATGAACTACAATTCGCCAAACGTTTGTTCTCTGCAGAAATGGAGCGCTAGCGGCCCAAAATAGGTGCCAAAGTTTCACAATTAGCCTTTAACTCCTTCAAAAAAGTTACGTGACCTTCTGACAGTTTCAATGTCACGGTGTAAGTTTGGTCAGAGTCATTTTCGGAGCGGCTCTTGGAGCAGTCAAAAGTTAATTTCGGAGCAGCAAAAAGAACTTTTCCAGCATGAGTGCACATTCATTTTTATTCATACCAACGCAAACATTATGTCAAGATTGATGTGTCAACCTGTCCAACTAAAACGCAATGTCTACACTGCCTTCTTACTTACAATTAAACCTTTCTTTGGAACACATAAAATAATATTTCCTTCAAGTTCTAGAGGTTGTAATAAAACTGCAATTTATAATGCAGATCAAAAACAAAGCACTTGTGATTTGGTTACCAACGTTAATTACATTCTACCTGTAGAACTGTAGCATGTGAACAACAGGTGAACAACAAAAACAGGTTGTTCCTGAGCTTCCATCCCCGGCTCCTGCCAACTTAGTTCTCATTTAGTCACATCTATAGAAAAGTGATAACTAAACAAATGAGTTGGCATAAATAAATAAACATACAAAAGAGTGCATACAAATGTTCCTGCAGTACCAAAGTACCCTCGCTAAATCTGGAATTGGAAAAAGGTACCGCTGGGATATCGCGGTCTATTGCTTATGCGAGCCAAAGTTGTATTCAGGAATTACATTTTCAGTGTCATGAAAGTGAAATTCGGTTTTGCCGCAACGTTGGCGCAAATTCCCCACGTTTTGGTAAGACGTAGCAGGGGAGGCACTCTGGCGCAGTTCGGCGCCAATGGCCCGGCAATCCCATCACTGTGGGCTGAACCGTTTTTAACCAATTAGCGTTCAAACTTTTCGGGTTCAGTCCGGTTCTGGTTTGACTAAAAGTGATGACTGGGTTCTGGTTCCTATCTCAACGTGCTAAAATACACTCAAATTATGTCATTCAAGTAGAGCTGGGCAATGCAGCACAAGACACAATGAGATAACACAATGCACAGATTGCAGCAGAATGTGTCCTCTATCCTTTCCGGGAACTGCGTGCGCATTGCAGAATAAGCTAAAAGCTATCTTTGTCGTAATCAACTAGTGCCTGCCTCCAGAGATTCCCACATTAAAGGGGCACTGCAATGAATATCTAGCACCTATTTCATTGTCTGCATGTCAGGCACGTTTTGGCCACACCACAGAGACACCAAGTTTTTTTGTTCAAAAAGACTCCAAAACGTTATTTAAAAGGAATAAACCGCAAAACATTATGTGGGGGGAGGGGGAATAAACCACCCCCCAAAAGCCATTTGGGGGAGGGTTCAAACTCCCCCCCAACCCAAATGTCGTTACGTCAAACCACGACCACAGAGATTCTTGGCAAGCAAAGCTCTCCTCCGGCCCTTCCAAATGCTTGTTTTCAGAAGGAGCCAGTGGTGTAGGCAGGGGGGTCTGGTTTGGAGGGGTCAAACTCCTCCCCCCCCCAAAAGAATTGTGCCTTTTCTTTTTCTTTTTTTTTTTGCGTAAACTATTACTCAGGTTTTAACAAAATACATAAGGTGCTACCCAAAAGGTGGTGCCACCGAGTTTGTTGCCGAGGAAAAAATAAGGCCAAACGAAAGGTGGGAAAAGGCCTGTCCTCAAAACTTTCGTAAAATTTTTGCAAATAACATTGCTTTTAGCTCAGTTGTGTCATCATTACATATATTGTGAATTGTATTTCGTAAACAAGATTTCAGGATGTATACATGGCGAGGACGAGGTACCAAGAATTTAGTTGAATTATTGAATCAATGAATTATTTATGAATTAATGAATGATTTATGAATGCATTAGTAATCGATTATTTAGTTCAAGAGGGCAACTAGGACTCAACTTGTAATACTGCGACGCAAAGTTGCACCTATTAATTTTTTTTTTTAGCTTTTGAGATAACATTTTGATTCGGGTAAAATATACGCCACTGAGGAAAACAAATAGGTTCATACAATTCATACAAATTCAATGTTTTGTATGTTAATCAAGCTTTTCTTTAAGACCGTTTCGTTGTAATTAATAACGCAATTCCTTATTTGCTCTATCTGAAAATAAAAGGGGATTGTAAGAACACAAAAAGCTACATAGTTACTAGCTTCACGCTTGACCAAAACAATGTGGAAATATATTCTTAATTTAGGGGTTCAAACCGGATCAAACCGTTATTCTTGCTCTCCCGGAACCGGACCGGGACTGAGCCGAAAGCCACGAACCCGAACCCAAACTCTAACCGATAAAAATTTTGGTTCGCCGCTCTGAACGCAAGAGATACATTTCAATTTTCGTATCATGGTATCCCTTTAATAAAGCACGCAGGAAAGGACAGAAATATGACGCAGACAGATCACTCTCGAAATAAAGTGCTCATAAGTTACTCGTAGTCGGTGACAAGTTAAAGGGGTGGGGAAAGGAAATTCCAGCCCTCATTTTATAGCTTTAACATGTGGCATGTTGCAGCATACCCTCAAAAAACACCAGGCTTGCAATGAAAGGCACAAGCAAACTAATTTTAAAGCTTAATTAAGCAATCTTTATATGTGCCCTGGTGGATGCATGGGGAGCCTATTTGAGAGGTAATCCAGCAACGTTGGGGAACTTGCTACGTAGTCATGACGTAGCAAGCTCCATCGGAGCAGCGCTGCTCTTTGGAATTTCAACATTGTCCTTCTTAGCTTTCCTCCTCAACTCACAAATCGCGCATTGAACCAAACAGTCCAAGAAAGCGATACGGAGGGACTCCCCCCTTTCTCGGACCCTCGTTTGTGCACCCGGACATGTTGGTTTCTAATTTACGACAAGGAAAGAGGGACATTGAAGACAACCAGACGAGACAAGCTTTTGACTTTCGCTGTGTCGGTTTCAACGACTGGCCACCCAGTGGCGTCGCGCATCCGGCGAACGGGTGCCCGGTTGGCACGAGCTAGCCAATGGGATTGCGGCGACGTAAAAGTTGCCGTTGGCTGTGGACGCGCGCTAGCCAATGGGATCGAAGCGGCGTAAAAAGCCTTGGCTCCACGACAGAGTTAATGCTTTCACATTAAAAGATTCCCTCGCGAGTCTATAGACGTAAAACCGAAATCACGGCACCTCGGTCGTCCGCAGCCTGGCCCTCCTCGGCCGATGCACTCTGGTCCACGTTCCCCGGGTGGTTGTCCAGCGTGTGGTCGTCCAGTTCCTCGGCCGTGTGGAACACGGCGCTGCACTGGCCGCACCCATGCGATCCCAGCGAGTTCTTGTGTTCCACGAACTTGCCAATGTCGTGGAAGCCCGTGTGGCAGACGCCGCAGATGAAGACGTCCATCGTGCGTGGGGGCAGTCACGCCATTCCTGCCCGGGCCTTGCTTAGTAGACAGACAGTGTTCCCAGCAAGCGTTGCACGTGCAATGGGCGGCAAAAACAAGTGAGGCACGTGCTATCTTAATCGCAGTTAGCGGGAACACGGTAGCGCGTGGCATCCGGTACTGTCGGAGCACTCTTAACGACCCAGTGCTACTCTGCAACGCCTCTGCAACTCTGGCTCCTAATGCACCCTTAAATTAATTAAGGTGAACGGCATTTGGCAACTTACTGTTCCTAATGCACCTTTGCATTAATTGAATTATAATCATAAGCTTAAAATGCAGGCTGCTTATTCGTGCTGGTGTTTAGACTGGTGGCAGCCACCCGTTTGCTCCACTGACGTCTGACTCCCGATTAGCTCGGTTGGCAGAGTGCTCCACTGAAAATGGAGAGGTCCCTGGTTCGATACCAGGACCAGGCGGATTTTTTTCGGTCACGCACCAGTCGCCTAGCTGTGTTTGGAGATTTGTGTTTTGTTTTGTTTTTTTTTTGTTCCACTTCTCTAGGGATTATTACTAGTCATATCACCCACGTTGTGTAAAATGGTATGGTTTAAGATTGTCATTTCCTAGTGATCGCAGAACATAATCGCACGTCTACGGCATCCGAACACATACCTCAGTTTGAGTCAAGGCTGGGTTCAGATTCACGAGAGCTTTTTTTCCTTGCTGTTTTCTTTTGCGGTGAGCTTTTCTCCGCCGCTCCATCTGGCTCAAGTTCAGCGCTGTTATTTTGGAATTCTGAACGCCGTCTGCAGGTCAACTTGCAGGAGCGCACATGCAAAAACCCTCCTCTCCTTCCGCAAATTAACGTAGCCGAACACAAAATTTCGCCTTGCGTAACAAACACGGCTGTCACGTGCTTAGTGTTGTTCCAAATATTGTTGCAGTTCCAAGAAACAAGGCGGCAAAAGGCACCGCAATGCAAAATATGAAAGGCAGCCTGGATTCACCAAGTACGCACTGGCGACAGGAAAGCTCTTTGGAAAACGTCGCAACTTGCAGTCCGAAGTACGCAATACTTATCTCGAAGACGAGACATCAAATTAGCGCACAGGGAAATGAATCGTCGTCTGCTTCCCGTGTTCAAAAATACACACAGACACAATCCGAATTCCGCGTATTTTCGCACACGGATCGGGTAGCCACTTTTAGCTCACAGCAAGCCGCGCAACAGCCTGATATGTATGCGAGAATTTAAAGCTCGAATGAAAGGCAACAGCCCCGTGATTATATACTGTCGATCTATCGTTTACCCGAACAATCATTGACGCGTCTGGAGAAAAATGTAAAGGCAGTTCCGATTGTGAATCAGCGGCCATTTTAACAATATCGGATCATACCGTCGGTTATTTTCGCCTTTACGAAAGCGCTAGAATTCTTAGTCTATGCAATTGGGGTATACATTTCTTGCTTCACAAATTATTTTCTTAATTTATCGGATGTCACGAATGGCAAAGCTCCCGTGCAATAGAAGAACAGTCGCTATTTTGGCTAAGAGCGTACCGACGTTGGCAGGTACTCACCTAATGTTCGTAGAAAGTAGGCTTATCAAAACCATCGGATACTATCGGGCGGCGATGACGTCATCTCACATGACGTTCACAGTCCAAATCCAAATCATCCAAAAGTTCGTGACATCTCCCTATCAAAAATTACAAAATAGGTGTTTTACTATATCGAGACGTCAAGTGCTTTTCCCCGTCAAAGCAAACGTGGTATTCCACCCCACTTGGTCGCTGCCGCGCGAGTAGTGCGGCAACCGCGGCAACCAGACAGCCATCTTGCATGTGACTAAATTGCGTTCTCGCTAGCGTTGCGGAGGCTGCTGGCAGCGTGCTGATGACATGTTTGCTACTCGTTTGTCGTAATTCGCCGAAGAAGTTATTAAAAACCTTTGTGTAAGCGGTGAGACTTGCCATTGGGAACAGGTGGCCATTTCTACGAAAGCGCAGTGCTCGTTGAAAGTAAGTTTTGCCGGTCTCGCGGCGTGATCAAAGATCAAAGTTTCCTTGGCACGCCGTAGTGCTGCGTTCGTCTTTGCGCCTTCGCACGCTTTTAGACGCAGGAGGCTGACGTCATGCCGTGCCCGTGCCCAAATGCTAGGCCCGTTCGATTTACCTACACCGCCCTACACATTTCTGCACCGGTAGTATGCATAGAGTTATGGTAGTAGTTAGAAGGCTCGTTTGATTTGCCCGATTTGCCTCCACCTTCTGCACGAATAGAGCGATCCGAGTTACTCCGGTGGGTCGGATCACGTGACAACACTGTTTGAAAAAGCGTTGGACGCGAGGTCAGGCGAGGTTTTAGAACGGCAAGGGGTAAAACATTTACTCCGGTGTACGATCGAGTAAATTTTCGAACACTGCACGTATCAGCGCCTTGTTTTTTTGTCGGTGTTGGTCGTGGTCCTTTCGAGTACTTGGCGTAGTACTAATTCGCAAAATGGCAACGAGGGCCCAGTTCGAGAACAACAACGAGATCGGCGTGTTTGCCAAGCTCACAAATGCGTACTGCCTGGTTGCGATCGGTGGATCGGAGAACTTCTACAGGTGAGCGGCTACCCCTGCCCGGGTCCACGTGCGGGTCTGTCGTTTTGTAATCTCGTTCTCGTGTTTTTGTAATCTGCGTTGTGACTTCCCCCGGTTAGCCGAAAGTACGTTGTACGTGACACCACACGGTCCAGTAGGCAGCGAGTGGTGGGTAAGAAACGACGGTGGTGTTTCTTCAATGTGCCGCCCGCCGCCCGTAGTCTGCGTTGATGGTTAGGCTTCCTCCGATGGGAAGTCGTCATTGCGGATGCCGTGACTCGATTGCCTAACGTGGCGTTTTTATTTTCCGTCCTCGGCTAGCATCTTCGAGGGCGAGTTGGCCGACACCATCCCAGTGATTCACACTTCTGTCGCCGGCTGCCGTATCATCGGGCGCCTGACCGTGGGTACGTAGGTGAAATCCTGCCTCCCCTCCCCTCCCCTCCCCTGCTGGGTAGACCCTGGCCCCCTCCCCTCCCCTGCAGGGTAGACCCTGGTTCGGGCCATGTCGGAGGGCGACAGTTTACTCGCTATCATAGACTCGGGAAGTGGCAGACAGACAAGCATTGCTTACTTCTGAAGGGCAAGCTCCACAGCGGTAATCTCAAACTCATTTGAGCGCGGGGATAGACTCGGGAAGTGGTCTCAAGTGGTCTCAAACTCATTTGAGCAGACATAGCCTACACAGACTCGGGAAGACAGACAAGCTGTGGATTGCTAGCAACGTTACTAGAACACTCAGTTGCGAAACTCGCCGTCCAAACCTGGGCCGCTGGCGTCCACAGAGACCGAGCTAAATACGACAACAGCGCCACTCTTTATCATTTGTCTGTACTGTGGTCACCTTGAGCTTTTAGAAAGCATGTTTTTGCATTTAAACAAACAGAAAAGACTCTTTTTGTATAAAATGTATTGGAGTTTAATACAAAATGAAGGACGCGTGATGTTTTTAAAATCTTTAGTTTGCAAGGCTTTGCGGCACAATTAATATTGTTTTTATACAACCATGCCTCAGCGGTGCTTTCAGGTAGCGCGTCCCGACCTAGGTGCATCTTAACTTCGCTAGAAAGACGCAGCGCGTCCGCTGGGGAGACGGGGGTGGCACCCCCGTAACCTCTTCCGCTGTATCTGTTTCGGCCCAAAATGGCCGATTAAAGCCAAAATAGACGTCACATGCAGTTCCTCGAGTGGCCGCTGCGGGAGAAATGGCGGCGTTGTGTTCGCCATTAGCTCGGTGCTCAAGGACAGATCGGGGACACTTTTTCAGAGCAGTCTCTGTGACAGTTTCCCAACTAAGTGTTTTAGTAACGTTGATTGCTAGATTCGGGAAGTGGCAGACAGACAAGTTTGAGCGTGGGGTCCACATAGCCTACCCTGGGAAGACTGGGGGCCAACGGTAGACTGAGGGTTGTTGTCAAAAGATTTAAGAGAAAAGAAACCTCGTGCTCAATGCTTTTTGTAAACTCAGTTTTAGGGTTGTGCGAACAGAGGTTCCAATCGAAGAGCGCTGCGTCATTCATAGTCTCGACCGTGTAAGGCCCGCTTCAGACGGAGCAATTTCACTCAGCAATTTGACGTCGCAACACCAGCAACACCGGCCGCCCGCATTCGCACGCAGCAACCGAATTGCTCTGACTTGCCGTCATCATCATTAAATTTGATTCTTCCTTCACTATTTAGACGCCCAGCTACGCGCTAAAAACGCGTTCTTATATCTCTGATAGGTGTTGAGAATACTAACTAATTTTTCTGAAACTGTTTATTTCCGGGAAATGATCCACTCCAAACCAGAACTAAGTCTTTAGCTGTCATCATCACCACCACAGGGGTGTCACGTGAAAATATTGCGTCTCTGATTGGCTGTAGCCGCTTCAACCGTCTTCGAATTGCTCCGAGTTGCTTGCTCGTTCGAGCCGGACCCGATCTCAGCAATTCGCGTCGATCTAGGGAAAGCTAGGGAACAACCCGCCAGCAACCTCAAAATTGCTGGAAAAGTTGCCCCGTCTGAAGCGGGCCTAAGGGATAGCCGACGACCGTTTCTTTCGATGATGCAGAGCTGGGGACGACGCTGCGCTTTTCAGCATTTCACCAGCTTCCAACGCCAACGAAATTGCTGCAGTGTGCAGAGCAGGTGGGCGTTCACTCGAACTGGAAAAGCCGAGATTGGCAAAATGACGATGCCTAAAAATGAAAATCACTAAATGTTATAAAAAAAAATTGGTAACTAAAAAAAAAAAAAAAACTTTTTTTTTTTATAATTATAATGCAATTAAATGCAAAGGGGCAAGCGAGCTGGACAAGAATGATGAAAATAATCCCTGGAGAAGGGGAACAAGAGGGACAAAGGACAAACATAAATCTCCAAACACAGCTACGTGACTGGTGAGCGACCGAAAAAATCCGCCTGGTCTCGGTAAGTGTCGTGATGTAGGCGAGTTGGTTCATGGTAACGGAAATAAACAGCGCGCAAAAAATACACAGGACGAAAGGAAGGTGTGAACGACACAAGCGCTGAACTCACAACTAAACATTTATTGAAAAAACACCAACGAAATAAACCGCACTATCGCTTCAGCACGTGTCAAGATAGGTAATTTCTTTTTTGTGAAGAAAAACCGATGTTTGGCTGACGCATGCATCTTGCCCCGCTTTTGTTATTGCATACGCTTCAAATAATTCCCTGGTAGTTTTATCTGTGCCCCTCCCGATGATGGTGATGTTATCGAATTGGGGCTGGCATTTACAGGCAGCACAATGCAGAGGCAAGTGACCCCCAGCGGTCGACCGGAGTGTCCAGTCATGCTCACGTGCCCTGTCATTAATGCATCGGCCAGTTTGGCCGATGTACACTCTTCCGCAGCTTAGTGGTATCTTGTAAACCACCCCCACCACACAATCAACATACTTGTTCCTGTGCCTTACGGCACATTGGCTCCTGCCCGTAGCCTTATCCGCAATTCTAGGGCAGAGTTGCGCCAACTTTCGTGGCGCCGAAAAAACAACAGGAACGTCAAACCTCCCGGCTACCTTTTTCAAATTGTGCGAGAGTTTGTGCATGTAGGGGAGTACCTGGGGTCTGGTTGCGGGTCTCTCTTTTTTCTGACTTGACCCTCCCTTAATCTTTTTTAGCAACGTCTGCGCCACTGCCAGAATAACTGACTCTGGGAAGCCGGCATCCGTCAGCCGCTGTACCTGCATCTTAAAACTTTCTGACATTGAATGGTAGCAGGACTTTTCCAAGACAGTCTGGAGGCAAGAGGACGCAATGCTCCTTTTTACTAGTTTAGAATGGGCGGAATCATAAGGGAGAAGTCCCTTCTTAGAGCATGGTTGGTAAAGCCAACACACGTGACTTTCTTCAAAATCTAGTCTAAGGTCTAAAAATTGGAGGTGTGTCCCATCCTGTAGTTCATGGGTAAACCTTAGCCCCCCAGAATGCTGAGCGAACACATCCAACACTGCTTTAACAGTCCTGTCCTCAGGGGCACCTCGAGACCTTCTTGTGACTACTAGATAATCGTCAACATATCTAAAAACTTTTTTAACACACTCCTCGTCTAAGTTTTCATTGATTGCCCGATCACATTTAGCCAGGAAAATGTCACAAAGTACCGGTGCCACACAAGAGCCAATGCAAATTCCTTCTTTTTGCACATAGTAGCCATCGTTATACATGATTAATGTCGACTGCAAATAAAACTTCAGTAGTTCCATAAAACTGTCGACTCCTACACCACACTTATTTTGAAACCCGATGACACCGTTTTCATCAATACATTCCCGCACCGACATAAAAAGCCCCTCATGAGGCACAGAGTAGAAGGTCTTCCACATCTATAGAGAATGCCGCTGCATCTGGATGTTCACCTGCACTAAGATATTCCACAATCGCCTGCGAATTTCGGACTAGAAACGGGTCCCGGAGCTCTAGGGTACTAAGATGACACAGGAGAAACTGGCTAACCTGTTTCTGCCACGCCCCCCTTTCCGTTACAATGGCCCGGAAGGGTGAGTCCACCTTATGCGTTTTAACGGAAAATAAAACTTTCAGGTGGTCTTCCTTACTATTCTTTATATCTTTTCCTAATTTGGTCAAGTCAAGAGTATCGCACAACTTCAGTGCTGCGCTCTTGACTTTTTTTGGGTCGAGTGAGGTCGGTTTAAAGTTCTTACACACCGCCGTTCTAGATTTACTCCTTAGCATGTCCTGAGGTACAACGACAAATCCCCCCTCTTTGTCTGCTTGGAGCAAACCAAGGTCACCTTCCTGAAAAACGACACAATTTTTCTCAGAGTTCCCCCCACAGGCGATGTTGACCTTTTTGGAGTGCTTCGCGACAAACAATCAACCCCCTCCAAAACACACCTTTCTCTTTCTTCCTTATCAGTCTTTTCTGACACCCTCCGTACCAAGGCTAGCAGTTCATGTGGCCTTAAATGCGGCTCCACGCTGTACTTTGGTCCTTTTTCCAGAGTTCTCGTCACATCCGCTGGAAGCTGGACGTCTCCAAGTACCGTCAAACTGCCTCCACTATGCATCGTTGTCCGTGCTCTTTTCGGTAACGCGGTTCGAACTTGTTGCCACAGAAATTCTGTCACCTGGTCCAGCAGCTGAAGATGCTCTCTGTGTCTCCGAAATCCCGACGATGATGCCACACCACACAAGCAAAGCACTTTTAAGTAGTCGTGCAGCAGCCGGACTTGTCTCCAGTTTTCCGACCTTAAAATCTTGCATATCCGTTTCGCATGGCCGCTGGAAGGCTGCATGCACCCGAAGATGCTCCCAACGTCAGCAGGTAGAAGGCCATTCTTGATGCAGTACGAAAGGTAGCGGGCTCGGCATGTGGACGCAGCAATAAGGTTGACACAGATTATAGCATGGCGGTTGTCAGTGTTAGGACACGTAAAAGGGCCTACCGTAGAAGAAATAAACTGGATTAGTGTCGTGATGTAGGCGAGTTGGTTCATGGTAACGGAAATAAACAGCGCGCAAAAAATACACAGGACGAAAGGAAGGTGTGAACGACACAAGCGCTGAACTCACAACTAAACATTTATTGAAAAAACACCAACGAAATAAACCGCACTATCGCTTCAGCACGTGTCAAGATAGGTAATTTCTTTTTTGTGAAGAAAAACCGATGTTTGGCTGACGCATGCATCTTGCCCCGCTTTTGTTATTGCATACGCTTCCAATAATTCCCTGTTAGTTTTATCTGTGCCCCTCCCGATGATGGTGATGTTATCGAATTGGGGCTGGCATTTACAGACAGCACAATGCAGAGGCAAGTTTTATTTGCAGTCGACATTAATCATGTATGACGATGGCTACTATGTGCAAAAAGAAGGAATTTGCATTGGCTCTTGTGTGGCACCGGTACTTTGTGACATTTTCCTGGCTAAATGTGATCGGGCAATCAATGAAAACTTAGACGAGGAGTGTGTTAAAAAAGTTTTTAGATATGTTGACGATTATCTAGTAGTCACAAGAAGGTCTCGAGGTGCCCCTGAGGACAGGACTGTTAAAGCAGTGTTGGATGTGTTCGCTCAGCATTCTGGGGGGCTAAGGTTTACCCATGAACTACAGGATGGGACACACCTCCAATTTTTAGACCTTAGACTAGATTTTGAAGAAAGTCACGTGTGTTGGCTTTACCAACCACGCTCTAAGAAGGGACTTCTCCCTTATGATTCCGCCCATTCTAAACTAGTAAAAAGGAGCATTAATTGCGTCCTCTTGCCTCCAGACTGTCTTGGAAAAGTCCTGCTACCATTCAATGTCAGAAAGTTTTAAGATGCAGGTACAGCGGCTGACGGATGCCGGCTTCCCAGAGTCAGTTATTCTGGCAGTGGCGCAGACGTTGCTAAAAAAGATTAAGGGAGGGTGAAGTCAGAAAAAAGAGAGACCCGCAACCAGACCCCAGGTACTCCCCTACATGCACAAACTCTCGCACAATTTGAAAAAGGTAGCCGGGAGGTTTGACGTTCCTGTTGTTTTTTCGGCGCCACGAAAGTTGGCGCAACTCTGCCCTAGAATTGCGGATAAGGCTACGGGCAGGAGCCAATGTGCCGTAAGGCACAGGAACAAGTATGTTGATTGTGTGGTGGGGGTGGTTTACAAGATACCACTAAGCTGCGGAAGAGTGTACATCGGCCAAACTGGCCGTTGCATTAATGACAGGGCACGTGAGCATGACTGGACACTCCGGTCGACCGCTGGGGGTCACTTGCCTCTGCATTGTGCTGCCTGTAAATGCCAGCCCCAATTCGATAACATCACCATCATCGGGAGGGGCACAGATAAAACTGCCAGGGAATTATTGGAAGCGTATGCAATAACAAAAGCGGGGCAAGATGCATGCGTCAGCCAAACATCGGTTTTTCTTCACAAAAAAGAAATTACCTATCTTGACACGTGCTGAAGCGATAGTGCGGTTTATTTCGTTGGTGTTTTTTCAATAAATATTTAGTTGTGAGTTCAGCGCTTGTGTCGTTCACACCTTCCTTTCGTCCTGTGTATTTTTTGCGCGCTGTTTATTTCCGTTACTGGTCTGGGTATCGAACCCGGGACCTCTCCATTACAGGTGGAGCGCTCTACCAACTGGGCTAACCAGGGGTTAGACGTGAGTAGAGCAAACGGGTTTTATCAGCTGCCACCAGTCTAACACCAACATGGGTGAAGCTTGCAATTTTATGGTTATAATTATAATGCAATTAAATGCAAAGGGGCAAGCGAGCTGGACAAGAATGATGAAAATAATCCCTGGCGACTTTGGAAGTTTTGCCGGTTGTCACAAGTCGCGATTTTGATAGCACTGTGTGCTTTACCCACAATGAATGTTGTTTTACGTGGTTTTCTCGATCAAACTCACGGAAAATTGAAAAAAAAGATACATGTAAAAAGTACTTTTTATGACAAACAACAGATTGGCTATATCGAACTTTTTCCCCTGGGAAGGCTTCCGAAAACGCGCAAACAATCGTCTTCTAGCCTGTCCCTTCCCCCCCAAAAAAAGAAGTAGGAAAGAAAATTCCAAAAGCTCAAGCCAGGAACAAAATTGACGAAGAGAAGCGATTCAAAAGGGGAGAAAGCTAAAAAAAAAAACACTGCACGCACAAAAAAAAAAAAAAAAGCTTCATCCCAAAGCGGTTGCCTACTAAGAGAAATGGTTCAGAAGGGGAGATAAGCTAAAAAAACAAACTGCACGTATGAGAAAAAAAAACAAAAAAACTTTCCAGCGTTTTGTTACAAGGTGGAAGCGAAGAGATGAGAAAGAGGAGCTTTTGCCTTACAACGAAGCTAACAAGTAATAAAACAAAAGATCAAATAGAAAGTTTTCTAGACTTACAGTAGAAAATCTGCTCAACATTGTATGCTTCACACATTTAGCTACACATTTCAGGAAAGGTTATATTTTTGTTACAAGGCGGAAGCGAGGAGATCAGAAAGAGAAGCTCTCGCCTTATAATGAACGCATCATGGAAGTTCGTTATAAATGGTTTTTGCTATATCGAACTACTCGCTATATCAAACTAATCGTAGAGTTTCCTGCCGTTCGGTACAAAGGGGTTTGACTGCACTCTGTGTTTCCTTTTCGAAAGGCAACCGTCACGGTCTCCTGGTTCCGAACACGACCACGGACCAGGAACTTCAGCACCTCCGGAACTCCCTGCCGGACAGCGTCAAGATCCAAAGGATAGAGGAGCGTCTGTCGGCGCTCGGAAACGTGATCGCCTGCAACGACTACGTGGCCCTCACACATCCGGACCTGGACAAGGTTTGTTTCCCGTCACACTTCCCGACTTCTGCGCGGCTTTTTGATGGCACCAACTGCACGGCAGGTTTGGTTGCCTGGCTAGTCGTTTAGTTGTGCGTAGAAGGTCCAGGCGTGGTAACAACACATTTGTTTGCTGCATTATGGACTCCATTACCGCTGCGCCATTAAAACCTTATTCTTACTTACTTATAGTAACAACATGCTGATTGATGGAGGACTATTATTAGCTGCTGTGAATGCTTATTTTAAGTATGAAATCAGTTGTAAATTGAATAGCGTATTCCACGGAAATGCTGTTGCAATAGAATCATTTTCGGCGCCCATATTGACGTTTCCTGCGAGTTCTAAAGGTTATAATGTAAGTGCACTTCTTACATGGGATAAGAAACAAAGATTTTGTCATTTGATTGGGAATATCAATTACAGTCTATCTGAAGAACTTTATGAAAGCAGAAATCAGCATGTAAACAATAAATAACCCTTCTTTAAAAAAAAAAAAAAATCCCGGAAATTTTATTAAGGTTATTGCCAAGCTTGCATTTACTGGACTAGCTAATTTAGTTTTAATATACTGTATTGGCTGTGCTAGAGTCACTAAATAAGCTATGCTTAAAGGCGGGCGCTCAAAATTTTCTTCAGCGTGGCAGAAGATTCCCCCTCTTTTCTTTTTTTCCTCCTCCCCTTTCCTCCTCCATTTCCTCCTCGCTTTTTACGGCCTTCTCGCACGAGTGCTAATGGGCTTACCTGCCCCCGACAAAATCTCTGTAACCCTTCAAGGTTCTTTGCTTCAATCCCAAACACCAGGGATTAGTTAGGCAGGCTGGATATGAGCTCGGAAGGGTTCGGGCTGACTCGCTTTTCTTCTTTTTTTTTATCTTTTTTTTCTCTTTTTCTGCAGTTCTAAAACACACTCAGATAGTCAGCACCAACTAGCCCAACAACAAGTTATTTTACATTCAGATACTTCCGCATGCGGCCACACACGCTACAACACCGCATATTTATCTCGAGTGAACGGAACTTGAACATCACAGCAGAAGAAAAAAAGATGGGTATTTTAATCCGAACTTTGAGCTCTACCCAGAGAGTTGAAAATGTGTCGTTCTAACAACGGCACACTGAAAAGTGATTGTATCACTATTGTGTTTTTTTTTTTTGTACAAACTAATAATCATGAGTAATTACAAGTCAAAGATATTGCAGTCAGAGGGACACAGTCTGACCATTTCTGGGGCATAATATATAGGTTCGTACTAAAGGTGTTTTCTAGAGTGACGGCCGCCTCGTTGAAGCTACTAAGAAGAGTAAAAACAAACTTCCATAAAAACTGAAACGGTTTATGGTATATTTCATCTATCTTCAGCCTTCGAAAAAAATTTCTTCGTGGCCAAACGTGCATTTAGTGTCTGTCAACAAATGTAACTGAAAACTTGACACCCGACAAATATCTTGCGTATCAGCAAAGAGAACGGGAAACACGGAGATTGAACCGCAAAATCACAATTTTCTTCGCGTAAAATAGTGCAACTAGCAATAGTAGCATATTATGCCATTTATTAAAAGACAGCAGGTATTGCGAAGTTTTCATTCTCTTCCGTTCGCATTTCTTCGCTGATGAAGAAATGGAATGCCCAGATAGCCTCTGCAGCCCTTACATAATTGTTTGGGGCTTTGTCATGGTGGGCGAAGGCCATCTCCAAAAAAAAAACCAGGAGTTCGGAAGGTGTGCTACCGCAAGTTTTGGGGCTGCTTGGCTAATTTAGGCGTCTGGCGTTCCCCGCCTACTTAGAAACGAAGCGGAACAGCGGTCAGCTCAACGTCGTCACCAAGCAGGAAATCATGCCGAAATGTGTCCTTGAACACGTGCGAGATCTTTACCCGAACCCAGCCGGGATTCACCACAATTCATCTACGAAAAAAACTATAAAAAGGGGTAGGCTTAAACAATTTGGCAGTTTTTGAATATGGTCATGCGGACTAACTGTCGACAAGTACGGAAAGAAATGCAGTAGAAATGCAGAGTTCTATTGTGTTCTTTATGTCCATACTTGTCTTTCGCGCTGTACGTCAATTAAAATGAATTCTGCAATATCTGTAGATTATGCCCGGCTATGTTGTCTTTAAAAGAAAAGCAATCAAGCAAGTTCGGTATCGTGCCACAATTTGTGCATATACAATTTTATGTGGAATTCAAAGTCAAAACAGTACTTCCTCGGGAAATAATGCATCCGTCGTTCTTCGTCTTCCTGAAGCTATGAACTACCGATCTCGGCTACAGGACTTTTGGGTCCACAAAATATCACGCTCAGTAGAAAATTCGCCTTTTCTACCAAAAGTACTGCAAATTATTTATTTTTCAAACAGGTCGGGTGGTGATGCGTGTTTGAGTGTAGGACCGTTGACTGGGCACTGGTTTGCGCCAAGAGTGCAGTGCTTCCTTTTATGCTGCCCGCGACGAGTGTTGAAATTTGAATACAGTAGAAATAAAATCAACTGACACCCTTAGAATTATTTTAAAGTTGCGCTTTCTTCAGGCATTAAGATTTTGATCGTACCTTTTATTCATTGTCGTCTTCGATGAGGGAACAACTTGCCGAGGAGGCCGCGCTGTCCGCGTACGCGGCTTGACAGATAAGGTCGCGAATGCTTTCCACGAATCTTTAAAGACCAAGCATAAAAATGAAAGACGCAGCCACTTCACAGCAATGAAACCAACTTTATGTTTTGGGCAGACGTCTTGCGAGAGTTGTAGTATTTTAATTATGCCTAATAAATTAAATGTTTAGGACTAAGTACCAAGCTTTTTTAGATGTATTAAGAACCAAAATGTCAATTGGAAAGTTCTAGAGCTGCTTGAGAAACACCCGATTAGCTATTTGCAACAAATACGGCTCGCGTGGCTTCCTTCTTACTAGTAACAAAGCTTATGAAACATGACAAAATACTACGTGATAAAGCGCCCGCCCCATCATAAACTAAATTTCGAATGTCCCGGGATTTGTTTTCATAGGCCGGAAAAAAAAAAAAGAGATGCATGCAAGACGCGTGCCCCACGCTTTATTTATATCAGAAAAGAACTGCCCTCTGTTTTATATACAGCGTTTATTGTTTTTTTTTTTTTTTCACCTACTAAATATTGGAGAAAACGTGGAAATTAACGTTTTGTGGATGTGAGCTATACGGCCAGGCGAAGATTGGGTTCAAGAAAGAACGCAACAAAAACCGACTGATTACCTAACATTTGTTAATGAACTTTTTGATTATAAAAGAAAACGGGATAGTTGATTTATAAAGTTGTTGGACGTAATCGAAAGCTACCAAATTGTCCAGTGAAAACTAGCGCCATTGCGGTTTGTGTAGGTGAGCTATACGGCCAGGCGAGGATTAGGTTCAATAACGAACGCAACTAAAACCGACCGATTGCCAAAAATTCACTAATTAACTTTTTAATTAGAAAAGAAAACGGCATCTTGTATTTAGAAAGTTGTTGGCCATAATCGCAAGCCACCAAACCGTCCATTCTTAAAAAGATGTAACGCGCGTACACTATTATACGGCGTCCTCCTAATTTGGGCGCGAAAATATAGTTTTCATTTTATGTGGGCTCCATCTCCGCGTGGCACAGCCTAACGCCATGAAGCCAAAGCGACAAATCATGCGCATCGCTGTGACAACGCCACTGTAGAAGGGGAGAGGAGTGCGGTGACCGAAAAGATTGCGGTAACACGATCCGCGTCCAAATTAGGCTTTTTAGGACGCCGTGAGCCACTTCACGTCCACTACATCTCTTTAAAAATGAATGATATGGTGTTTTTGATGACTACAGATAAGGCACAAACCGCAATTGCGTAACTCTGACGTCTTTTTTTAGAAAAATGTCTAGTCGTTAAAAAAAATCGCCCTGTATAAGCACGATTGTAAGGCAGTTCTTTACGTCTGGCGACATCATTACGGCATGGAACGAGACGTTGACCACAGATCAAACTCAGTGTATGATCTGTGGTCACTGTTTTTTTTCGTACCAGAATGAGCAAACATTTGATACCAAATAAAATAGATTTAGCATTCACCAAATTCGGCTTGTTTACTTGATTCAAATCGATATTTGATTTGATTACACTTATTTTGTACCCGCACACGAGGCGCATTTGAAGATATTCAAAATTGTTCTGAATACACAAACAACTTCAAACGTCTTGCTGTTTGGGTCGTTTCCTACACGCAGGACCAATAATAAAGCCAAAACCTTATAGAGGAGACTATCTCTATCAACTCAACGCACAAAGACGATGTGAAGCGTGTCTGCGTAAGTTGGAAAAGGGATACCGGCGAGGCAAACTTTAGCGTCGAATGTCCATGCATCAAAATGTCCATACACCGAAATATCCGCGCACCGAAAAGTCCCACACCGAAAAGTCTTTGCAGCAAAAGGTCCGTACACTGAAATGTCTGTGCACCAAAAAGTCCGCACCGAAATGCCCTAATAAAGCAAAACGCTCTACACCGAAAAGTGCTAGATCCAGGTGACGGATGGGATCCTCCGTCACCTCTGCCGGTTTTCGAACCATGATTATTCAGAACCACTGGTCTATGGAGCGCCATCCCTGATATACAGAAAACGCAGCTCGTACTTCCCGTTATCGCCATGAATCCGCCTAAACAACGAAAGATGCCAAATCAGATATTTATATTAAAATTGATACTTCAATGACTACTTCTTTGAGCAGAACAAGGCATTTGTGCTCTCACAACAGCAAAGAATCGTCTTCCAAACCAATGCTAAAAAGAGCCAATGCAACTCGTTGGAGCGCAGCCAAAGGCTGAGGGACGGTTCGCAACTTCGAGATGAGCATTCCTACGCACCACAAAGTAGTCCGCAAAATTATTATTTTTTTTTTTTTTTTTAATAACTGTCTTGTGCGTAAACATTGCACAATATTCCAGATGTGTACTGCTGAGAATGATTTGCAACTAAAAGAATTATATATCTGAAGTTTATG